CCCCGGTCTGCTGACGGTCAGCAGCGCCGCCGCCGCGCAGTGTCACCTGCTGGCAGCCGCGTACCTCTTCTACCTCGCGCGCCCGCTCGAAGCCTGGAGCCTGTTGGGCAGCGCGAGCGCCAAGCTGCAGCTGCTGCTCATGGCGCCGGGCCGGCGCGTCGGCGGCGGGCCCGAGGCGGAGCTGGTCCAGCGCATCTACTGGAACACGCTGCTGTTTGAGAGCGACCTCCTGGCGGAGCTGAACCTGCCGCACTCGGGCGTCGCGCAGTTTGAAGAGCAGGTTGGCCTGCCGGGCGGCTTCGTGGGTGACGGCGACGAGGACGAGCCCGTCGCGGCCGACGAGCTGTGGTACTTTCTGGCCGAGATTGCGCTGCGCAGGCTGCTCAACAGGGTCAGTCAGCTGCTGTACTCGGACGACGCCTTCGCAAAGACGAGCAACCTGGGGCCCGTCGTGGCAGAGCTCGACTACCAGCTCACGCAGTGGTACGAGGGCCTGCCGCCGCCGCTGCAGTTTTCGTTTGCGCGCGTGCCGCTGCGGGATCCGGTCCAGACCGTCCTGAAGCTGCGCTACTACGCGTGCAAGGTCATCATCTACCGGCCCTACACGCACTGCGTTCTGCAGGACGCGCGGGCCATTGCTGAGCCCCTCGTGCGCGAGGGCTGCCGCAAATGTCTAGACGCCTCGGTGCGGCAATTGGAACACATTTCTGAACAGTACGTCGCCATCCTTTTGTTTTCTTCTCTTTTTTTGCAGAAGCTTGTTGCAAAACATCGTTTACAAAGTCACAAGTGCTAATCGAGTCCACAGTCATGCTGGGCACATGCCCTACACCTGGCAAGGCGCGCTCTCCATGGCCTCGCAGTCGCTGCTCATCATGGGCGCAACCATGTCGCCATCGCTGCAAGACCTGGTGCTGAGTCTAGTGCCCGACAGCGCTGCCCTGGATAAGATCATACAGCAAGTCATAGACGAGCTTGGTCGCTATGCCGTGCTGGCACCCAGCATCAACCTGGCAGCCGACATTGTCAAGGAGGCTGAAGTGCGCCGGCGTGCGTTTCTGAGACAAGAGACGCAGACGAGTTGGCGTGCACCGCGTCCAAGCAGGAATGACGAATAACTAGTTTGACATTGGGTTGGCGTTGCATCTGCGCGCCGCTGCCCAAGATGCCTATACCCGTGCCCGACGACTCGGCATGCAGCGAAAGTGAAACATGCACAAAGGGCCAGAACCTTTGCAGAGCGCATAGCGCGGCAGCAAGCCGGCGCATTGGGGGAAGAGAATACTAGATATTTTCTTTGCCAACATTGGGCTGATCTACTGGTTCTCAGATCAGCCGCTGGGTTGTGCAGGGGGGACGAATCTATGCGTCGGCGCTTGCAGGACACCTTGCCGGGGCGCCGTTCCCATTGGGAGAGCTTCCGGATTTCCGGGGCGCCCGCTAAAATTAGGCGTAGCAAGAGCCTAGCAAGCTCGGACACATGGCCGGCCTCGTTGCCGCCTGTTTTCCTAATGGGGTCTCCGACCGGAGATCATCCCCCGCCGCGAGGAGAGAAGGCTGACGAGGGCGGGCGCTGGCGGCGAACCGTTTGTTAGGTAGCGAGCCGTGCCAAACAGACTATAGACAAGAGCGCCTTTTGTTTGGCTAGTCCCGGCAACAATTGTGCGCTGCCGCACTGTACGCAAACTGGTCTTGTTTTTCGGGGGCCCCTTTCAAATAGTACCGTCGTTGTCACCTGCGGCGTGATCGTCGGAGCCCGCCGCACACTTGGCTGACCAGTGCTTACTCACTGCTCTGCTGTTGGCCGCCGACGGGAAGCGCCAGAGAGGCAAGACCGGACGTATAGGCAAGACCGGACGTATAGGCAAGACCGGACGTATAGATCTGAGATTCAAGGCGCACTCGTTGCCTTGTCGGAGTATCCTATAGCTCTCTTCTCCGCAAATGGATCATTTGCGTTTTTTTCTATTGAAACGATGTTACTCTGCAACCTCGAGGCAGAGTCAGCCACACAGCTACGCGATAAGCCACGCTTTTGTGAGGCCGTCATCATGAAGGACCATGCCCCCCCCCCCCCCCCCCCCTCCCTACCTTCTCGTTGTAGTGTTCTTCTTGTCTAGTGTATAGTAAAAGCCGGAGCGGTAGACGAGCGCTACTTTGATGCAACCGTTGGGCGGATCTGCGCAGATGTGAGCAACTGGATTCCATTCACACTGCAGACTGATGTGTTGTGAGACTTGGGCTGACTTCTGCAGCGGTTCATGCTGTGCGACAACTACTCGAAGACGCTTTTCCTATTCGTGTGTCTCTCCAGTTCCTTTTTACAATCTCCTTTGTACGGCTGTGGTATTGAATTGTAGTTGGCGTCCAAGGTAGCTAGCAATACGGGTTGAGCCTACCAACCTGCGAACTTTGACTCACCAAGGCCAGGCCAAATTTCACTCTTTCAAGAGCCGGTCTAAAAGGCATTGCATTCTCTCTCGGACAATTTTCTCAAGTGGCTTCCGAGCCTGGTGAGAACGGGGCAGGGCTCTCGGTCAGCACCGCAAAACAGACTGGTCATGCAAAGGCAGCCAACAACAAACTTGCGGCGCACTGCAACGTTCAGCCTTTGTCTCACCCGTCGCCGCAGCGGAGAGTTTTTCGAGGCAGCAAAAAAAAGGAAGGCAAAATGTGACATTCTGTGTCTGTTGGAGAGGCAGAGAGGTGTCTGCCTCCTTGGCGAGGGTTTGTCGCAAAAGCCCACACGCGGCAGCCTCGCGCAGCCTAGACGGACGTTCCGTGATGCGTACTCGCTTAGCCCGTTGGCCATAGGCTGTCATGGCGCTGGGAATATGTCGAATGTGCCCGTGAGACACGCGCAGACATTGAAACGGGAAACTCGCCGTGGCTTCGTATAAGTAGTCGTCGGAATCATGTTCAAAATGAGTATTCCGGAGGCCCAAGAACCAAGAGACTTGCAGACAATCTGTACCTTTGCAGTTGCAGAATATTCTTATCCATCACCATGAAAAGTTTCCTTCCGTTGGCCGTTGTGTTGTTGGCACTCGGCGTTTGGTCTCAGGACTGCGGTGTAAGTGAGCGTCTAACCCCGTCCAAGGACAGCGGCCGCGCTATATTGCACTGCATTGGTTATTAACATGGCGACCAGGTCAACGAGGTGCGGCACGACTGCGGCCCGGTGTGCGAAAGCTGCGGAGACAGCACCTGCGACGCTGTGCGCTGCGGCGGCGGATGCTGGTGCCAGTCGGGATACCTTCGGGACAGAGTATGTTGGACCACCAGTCCCTTTTTTGCAGATGCCTGTATCAAGAGAACTAACTCGGACCAAAACTAGATTGGCACCTGCATTCCCATGAACAAGTGCCCAGACGACGCAAACGACGAGCCAGACTCCCGACAGATGCGTCAAGATTCCAGTGCTGGTTCTTGCTGGCACAATGCGTGCAGCGACCGGCCCCGCGCAACTGTTTCGCCAGGCAGCGTGTTGATGGAATAGAGCCGAGGGGTCCGGCCCCGGGGAGCTTCGTATAAATGTATCTAGATAAGGTTTGATTAGTACACCGTTATGCCACTTTGCAGACTCGGTACAGCCTCTGGCCATCTTTGTGAAATGTATCGGCTTTACCTAACGGGGGTAGAAGTGTGAGATGAAGGAGGACGATGGTGAGGTCGCGGGGAGGCGCAGGTGGAAAGCAGAGCTCGTGCAGACGTCCATGCACCAAGGTCTGGTCGATTGCTTTGTCTATTTTTGCCCTGGTCTTTGAATGACACCTTTGCGTAACACCACCGCGGCGCAAGACGTCACCATTGCCGACTTGTCTTAGTGCCATGTGAGCCCGGGAGCGTTCACGCTTGTTGATGCCGCATGTCAAGTGTGACGAGCGAGGGACTTCTGTGCCTGGGCCGACTATGACTCCAACGCCAGCAGGATATAAGAGGGAACCAGATGAAATATCCCGCAGACGGTGTCACGTCTGTCTGTCCACTGCCACCTCCAGTGGCGTGGTGGTCATGCATGCGCTCACTACACATGATCGCCCAGGCCCTTTTTTTTTTCCCTGGTCGCTAGTCTGGTGCTGCCTGTTCCCGAGTTTGGCTTGTCCAGCCAGGCGATTCGGTCAGGGGCCAGTGGCAACACACACATGTCGCTCTGGCCACATCACTGGTTGGAAGTAAGCCATTGTAACGATGTCAATGAGCGGCCCGCATCCCTGTCCCGTCCCTTTCATCAGGGGACACGGAGGGTCTTGGCAGGTTGGAACCGCATGCGTTGTCCGTCGCTACCTAGCCAAGGTAGCAGTTTTAGGCCGTTTCTCGCTGTTCTCGTCTCGTCCTTGGTTGTGCCTCGTTTGTGCTCGTCGCTGTCGCTGGGCGGTGCTTCTCGCTGGGAACCCCCAGCCCACACGTGACGCATAGGCTAACTTCTCACAGCCAACCACCGACTTTTCGTGACCCAACGCAACTAGGGGTCGGCCAGCATACGCGCCCAGCAACATTAGTCTTTTTCTATTTCTTTTCCGTCTTGTTTTTTTATAATTACTCGGGAGAAAACCTGTTTCGTGACTCAATCCGTTGCCCTTTTGTTCTTCCCATTACCTGGTGCGACTCCACACGTCTTGCAGCTCACGCGGGGGAACGCCAGGCAGGGTCCCTTTTTCTTCATCATCACCCACCACACCGACCATCGGCACTGCAAGCACTGTCAGCAACGTTTGCGCAGCACAGAAACTCTTGTGCGCTCATCAACTCAAAGCATCCGTCAGCTGCTACCTGCGTTGTCCAACTCCGATTTCTAAATTCCTTGCCGTTCTGACGTGGCTGGCCTGACAGTCCAGCTTTATGAATAACCCCCACGGCTGTTTGCTATATATCTCCAGCATCAGAGACGTCCCCCAGCATTTTCGACACCACCGGCAGCATCTACCTGCAGGGCACTATCCAGTTCTTGCCTTTTCCATGACAGCTGCGCAGCCATTCACCGCATAGCCACCATATAACGCCACTTCTGGACTGATTGGGGCCCGCGGCCTGACACCACTCGACGCTACCAGCCGGTGGCTTTTTCTCACCATTTTTTTTGGGCGTTGGAAGCCATCTTCATCGGGCTGAAACGAGTGCATATCGGCGACAAGCGCCCGTTCTCGCAACGCCCAAGGCCTCTTTACTTGCTACACGGCAACCTGTCTACGCTCAACATCAATTCGGGGCCGCCTGCCACATGTTCATGACATTTACGCGCCACACCCCAGACCATGCCTGCTCGAATAGTTCAACAACCCTCTAACCCCTATGCGAGGTCTTCCTACGTCTACGACGATGATAGAGGCAGAGAACGCGATTATTCAGATCGAGTAGCATCTTACTCGTCGCCACGCCGAGGCTCAGTGTACGACTACGCGTCCGCATACGAGGATGACAGGCGTTATCATTCAAGAGAGCGTGGTCGCCACGTTAGCGCCGAGGAACTTGACCGACAGCGACGGTCTGTGAGTGATCGCGACTCGTATGGCCGACAAAGCTCAGTAAGGACTCCAGAACGAAGCGAGTCTTCCAGAAAGAGTCGTCATCATACCCCTCACATTATTGAAGAATCGCGCCCCCCCGTCAGTTCCCGCGGTCAAAGGGAGGCTGCAGATCTTGCCTACGGTCCAGCTCCCTCACGCAGAGACTCGACTTCTTCCCGAAGAAGTCGGTCAACAAGTCGATTCAGTCGGTGGTTTGGAGGTGGGTCGTCGAATCGTGCCGCGTCTCCGGAAAAGCCACCCAGGCGAGAAAGGCGATCGCGGTCAGAGAAGCCTAGCAGGCCGGCTTCGTGCGTCGCATGTCTCGAGGAGACATCGCCGTCAAGGACCGCCGATTTGAAATGTGGTCATCGAATGTGCAACTCGTGTCTCCGCCGTCTGTTTCGCATGTCCACCACTGACCCGCAGCACATGCCGCCTCGATGTTGCAGTCAAGAACCCATTCCGCTCCGCTACGTGGAGCAGCTTTTTGATGCAGACTTCAAAAAGATTTGGAATCGCAAGTTTTCCGAGTATACCACGCGCAACCGTCTTTACTGTCCGTCCCGGAAATGCGGCGAGTGGATCATGCCCGACTCGATTCGGAGAGAAAATGGTCGCAAGGTAGCGCGATGCGGCCGCTGCAAGACAAAGGTCTGCGGCTCCTGCGGCTTAAACTATCACTCTTCAACAACATGCCCAAATGACGAGGCTACCAACAAGTTTCTCAGCCAGGCCCAAGACGAGGGTTGGAAGCGATGTTATCGATGCCAAGCCGTGGTTGAGCTGCGAGAAGGTTGCAACCACATGACCTGGTGAGTCCATTGTGACGTACTGAGAACAGCACCAAGTAACTAACTGTTGGTAGTCGTTGTGGTGCCGAGTTCTGTATGAAATGTGGTGTCAAGTGGAAGGGTTGTAATTGTCCGTGGTTCAATCACAACGCGATGGGCCCCGATAACTTGGATATGAATATCCCAGGTCACGCCGGACAGCATCAACAAACATATAGTGAAGAGATGCGGTCGCGTCGGTTGCAGGAGCTCCGCGATCGAGTAGTGGCGAGAAACATGCAGCACGACAGCGAGTACGACATGATGGGAGGGATAGGGAGCATAACGGGGCTCGGCAACTCGGCAGGACACCACATGAACGAGAGCTACCGAAGAGATCACGGCGCACTTCCATCGCGGCCGCCCTCGTCGTTTGACCGGGGCGCCAGCTACCTTTCGGACGTCAACCGCGCCCGGGGCTACGGGCCGGGCTTGGAGCGCCAAAACTCGACGCGAAGCCGGAGCGCGCGGCAGCCCTCGCCGGTTGCGCCGCCGCTGCGCTACTCGACAGGCTACGAGGACCTGCCGCTGCGACGCGGCTCGTACGGGCACCAGCGTTTCGTGGACGAGCGGGAGTTTGGGCGGGCGCCGGCGCGGTCGCCGCAGCGAGCGCGGTCGGAGCGCACAGTCCCCGCCCGCACGTCGCGGCGCTACGAGGACGAGGCAGCCATTCACGCACCGCCGCGAGGGCGCCGCGCGAGCGTTGAGCCGCCGCGCAGTTCTGCCATGGCCGGCTTGAACGGCAAGGATCGGGGCATGGGCCGCGTGGCGGAGTGGAGAGGTTATATCGAACCGGGCGTACCAGATGGGGAGTCGGTTATTGGTCATGTTTAAGGGGTGCGGGCGCGCTGCTGATGGAAATCGGCGTCTTTCTTTTTTCTTGTTTTGCTGGGAATGTATAACGATTTGACGACTGCAGCCGCATTTTTGGATCGGTGTTGCGCACAGACGTGAGCGAAGCAGCCACAGCTTTTGATGGCACTTTTGGGTAAACAAAGGCCCGGAGGCATGTACAATCTAGATGGAGAATAGCAATATTGGTTTGGCAAAGGGCATCATTTATCGACCTACCAACTTGTTGTGGTGGCTTTTCAAAAGCCTCTATATCCGACGGCTGATGGTTAGGGTTACCCTTTTGGTGTTTGTGACTGAATTTGATGGAAGCTGCAGGAGCTTGGGCAAGCGTGCATGTGAAGAATTACGTCATGACGTTAGGCTTCGTGATTAGAAAGACCAGAGCCGTCGGGGCCGGCTAGGTGCTGCAAGCCACCAATGCAAGCACTTATCACTTATCAGGGCCGCAGCCGATGAATGGGCTGGTCGGTGCGCTGGCGGCCTCTATCAGGGGATCTTTAGGGGGCGGCTACAGCGATGTGTCTGCTATCGTTTAGCGCTTCCAGGCGTCATCATTGGCGGCGTCTTCGAGCCGCTACAGGTGGTCTCTAATAACAAGCCCCCCAAATCCACTGTAACGATTCCTCTCAGCCATCTATGGCACCCGAAATCCTTCAACCAGTCACGAGGGTTCCCGCTTCATCCGTGATCCGTGGCCATGCCCCTCAATCAGATCAATCATCATCTCATCTCCCTTGCCTACTTACCAAGCTTTCCTCCTTTTTTTTCTGGCAAACTCAAGACCTTCGTATCGCCCTAGAACGCCGTCTTTCAGCGTCCAACTCCGCATTACCCCAGAAATGCCGCCGTTGCATCGCCTCCCATAGCATCGAATCCAAATACAAGCACGCACGTGCCAAGTAGCCCGCTCTGGCCACACCAACTCAGCCTCCGGTCCAATCCTCAAACAAATCTCCGAACCCCCCATTCCCAGCTCTGCCGCCCTCGCGGGCTTCCTCCCGGCGACCGAGGCCATGCTTCTCCTCCACCAGGTCGGGACCGTCAAGATTGGCGAGGTCATCCGATACACCGTGACCTACACCCCGTCCCAGGACCGCATCCTGCCCTCGCCCGAGAAGCTCTTTGTCCGCATCCGCAACACGGCGGCCATTGCCCTGCGCGCCGCTTTTGTCCACGGCCCGTACACCCTCTCCGTCGCCGCCTATCCCTCCGCCTTTCGACCCTACGAAAAGTTTCCCGACCCGCACCGGTATGGCGTCCCCGAGTTCCAGCCCATGGTCAAGGCCGGCGGCTCCTGGGAGTGCGAGCTCCTCGTCCCCGACGATATAAGACAGTCGGCCGGCATCGGTGGCAACGGCAGCACGTTTGGCAAGGACGCCGCCCACAACGCGGAATGTGCCAGTTGGGTCATCGAGATCTCCTCCCAGATCATGTTCTCGACCTCTGCGGCCGTGTCATACGAGGTCGTCGTTGGGCGCGATCAGAAGTCGCTAAACCTCAGCCAAGCTTCAGCTGTCCAAGGCAGCCAGAACATGCGTGCTGGCAAGCTAACCGACCACCAGCAAAGTATAGGTGCCAAGGATGGCCATCACCCAGCGCAGCCTCAGGGTATATTCTCCCGCGCTGTGAAGCTCAAAGTCGAGGATACAGCAACGCTTTGGAACACACCTCGACTTCCGGGCTGGGACGATCTCGGCGAAAAGCGCGCTCATGAAAACAAAGGCGGCGCCGACAAACCGGTTGAAAGCGTGGCCAAGACTGGCGACCCCGAAACCGTCAACGACAAACCCGTGCGAAAGCAGAAAAAGGTTCATCTAGTCTTGCTCACGCATGGGCTGCACAGTAATCTCGGCGCAGATATGCTTTATATGAAGGAATCTATTGATGCCGCGGCGAAACAAGCAAAGGTGGATGCCAAGGCGAGGCGACAAAAGGAACGAGAAGATGCTGGGTTGCCTGTTGATGCAGCCGAGGACGACGACGACGAACAAGTTGTCGTTCGTGGATACTCTGGCAACGCGACAAAAACAGAAAAGGGAATCAAGTATCTTGGCAAACGACTTGCACGATATGTTTTGGCCATCACCTACCCGGATCAACCGTTTATTCCCCTCGGAAAATCCGCCGGCGAAACGCTGATCAAGAACTTTGACAACGAGGACTTGCTCAAGCAGCACATATTCAAGCAAGCACATAAACATAGCAAGGTATCAGAAGACACGACGATCCGCGGCAGAGATCCTACCCGACCCTACACGATATCCAGCATCAGCTTTATCGGGCATTCTCTAGGTGGCCTCGTCCAGACCTATGCTGTTGCATATATCCAGAAGCACTCGCCCAAGTTCTTCGACCTCATTCGTCCCGTCAACTTCATCGCTCTTGCGTCTCCCTTTCTTGGCCTGAGCAACGAGAATCCTGTCTATGTCAAGTTCGCTTTGGATTTTGGCCTTGTGGGACGAACAGGCAAAGACTTGGGCTTAACTTGGAGAGCTCCCACAATTGCCCGAAACGGCTGGGGCGCCATAGTTGGCAATCTCGGCGAATCGGCACACAAGACCGTCTACGGCGACAGCCAGCCTGACTCGAAGCCCTTGTTGCGTATTCTGCCTACTGGGCCGGCGCATACGGCGCTGAAGAAGTTTAGAAACAGGACCACGTACTCAAATGTCGTCAATGATGGTATTGTTCCGCTAAGGACAAGCTGTCTTTTATTCTTGGACTGGCAGGGTCTAGGGCGCGTTGAAAAGGCGCGTCGGGATGCGGGCCTTGTCGAGACGGTTGTTGGGTTCGGTTGGGCTGAACTGACAGGTTCAAGCATGTCTACTGCCAAGGTAAAGCATCAGCTTGCCGTTGAAGCGGGCCAAGAGTCTGGCGCTACTACACCTCGAGACAATGCACAGCAGGTGCCGCAGCCGGATGAACAGACCATGGACGAGGACGACAGGGCCAGTATACGGTCTATATCGACGCCGTTTAGTGAAGGCAGTCAGCACCTGGAGTCACCGAGCGCATTATCTATACAAAGCCCGCTATCGAGCCTTTTCAACCTTTTTAAGAGCAGCGAGCCGCCGAAGCCAGACATCATGTCTAAGAAGCAAAAGAAGATGATTCGACGAGCACAAACCGTCATGTTGGATTCGCAGTCGAAAACTTCGAGTTCAAGCACATCCGATGTATCCAAGTCCACAAAGGCCACGACTGGTCACGAATTCGAAGGGGGCGAGTTTGGTGGTGTGATGGCGCCTCCCAAGACAACCTTTTTCGAATCGGCTGGGGATCTTTTGAATCCCAAAATGCCAGATGTCGACTTCTTGGTCGACCCGTCGAAGCGGCCAAGAACCATCTTCCATGATAGAGTGTACCAGCCCTCTGACATTCCTCCTCCGCCTCTAAAACGGCGCAACACGTCTTCGCTCATGCGCAAGACGTTCAAGTCGTCTCAGTCGCCAAAGCCGACGGAGAGCGGATCATCCTCCCCATACCCGACAATCAATCACGAAGACTCGATGGCCTCTACCAAAGACTACGACGATACCGCACACACCAGCCCGGACAAGCAGCCGAACGAAGTGGTTGACGGCTCCGGCATGCGCGTGGAGGAAAAGATTGCGCGCGGCTATCACAAGGGTCTCGCGTGGCGCAAGGTCCTCGTTAAGCTCGAGCCCGACGCCCACAACAACATCATCGTGCGCCGCATGTTTGCCAACGCCTACGGGTGGCCCGTCATGAAGCACATGGTTGACGTACACTTTAGCGACTCTGTGATTGCGCGCATGGCGACCGAAGACGAGCACCTGGGTGAGCGCGCGCTGGACGCCAACCAACCCCCGGACGCCCACGGCTGCGAGACAAAACACCTGAGCGAGGAACTCGCGGCGACGTTGATCATTGATGACAGTGTAGCCGGTGACGAGGGCGCCGGTTTGCGCGATGCTGTCCCGGCGCTTCTGCTACCCAAGAGTCCCGATAGCGATGCCCACTCCTGGCTCGCCAACGGTGGCGCATCCCCAGTAACGTGGAGCGAGCGCGACTGGGTCGACAGCGATGATAACAGCGACGCAGAAGCGGCTGGCGCGGAGAAGGAGGTTGATGCTGTCGGGAAAGGCGACGGCACGCTGAGCCCGTCATCGTGGAAGTGGGCGACGGAGAAGATTGTCGGCAAGGGCGCAGTGTCGGGCCGGAAGAGTCCGGCGCCGGAGCAGAAGCAGAAACAAGCATAAATATATATACGTATACATTCCGGCAGAATAGTAATCACATCCTAATACCCTTGATTGAGTTGGCAACACGATGTGACGGAAGCAGGGAATGTGACTGTTGGAAAGGATAGAGGCAGTGAGGGAAAATGTCTGGAATGTTACGTTGGGTATCTGTTTCGAGCCCTGGTGTTGTTGTGGTGCGTGCGTGCGACAATATAGGGCCTCGCCAATCTGTGTATTTTGCACCTCTGCCGGCCAGTATCCGTACTTTTGAATTACTTCGTAAATAAGGTAGGACCAACAAAGGTCAAATCAGTGCCGCCGCCGGGGCTAACAGGTAGTCTTGCACTCGACAAGCCTCGCAAAAGCGGCAACGTTTGTTGCCGACTATCCGGGGCTGACGCAACGCCCCAGTTCCCGACTGCCCAGCACCAAGCACCGCCCCAAACCCCGCCCAAGGTGGTCATCCAGACTGCCGGCTTGGCAAACGTCTTGGCAAAGAACTCAGAATCGATCTGCCGCCGCTTTTACGTCCGGCGCGGGCGACGACGGATAAGTCGGCCTATTGTGTGGCGCCTGCTCCCTTTTGCCAGCCAACCAGCCCAGTTCTAATGCAGCGTTTCTTTGCGCCGGTTTGCTAGTAACGGCTTTTAAATATGGCTGAAATCAGGGGGGAGAATAAATACGTTACTAGTCCCATGACGTTGCACCTGCCGTCGCCTTCTCTTCATGACCTCGTTGCTCTGTTTTTTTACAGGCAAAACACTCGCTTCTTTTTTTGTCTGCTCGCGTTAATTCCAAATCGACCTCTTTCCCTCTTTCAATCCACTCGCTGAGATCCTATAAGTACGACAATATTCACAGGAGCTGCGCTGCTATTACGTCCGTCTCATTGCCATTCGACTTCCGTTTGCGCTCTTTGGTTTGCCACCCTGCACCCAGTCAGTCGTTTTGAGTGCGTACCAGGACAAGCTTCTCCTGTTCCAATTACGCGGCGAAACAAGCGGACGTGAATATCCTACCTCACAACCCAATCTCGGCTTGCATTCGCCAATATGGTCTCTGCCAAGACTTTGATCGCCGGCTTGGCTGCCGCGGGTGCCATGGCTGCTGATGTACCCTCGCTTCAAATCAAGGTACGATCCGATTTGCAGGGATCACCGAGAGTAATAAGAGGACCGCCAAGCTAACCACTCGAATCGCCGCAGGGATCCAAGTTTTTCTACCCCAATGGCACGCAATTCATCATTCGCGGCATCGCCTACCAGCAAGACTCGTCGGCCGGCGGTAGCGATGCCCCCACGACCAACGCCACCTTTATCGACTCGCTCGTGAGCAAGGCCAACTGCCAGCGCGATATCCCCAACCTTGTGTCCCTCAACACCAACCTCATTCGCACCTACGGCGTCGACCCCACGGGCAACCATGACGACTGCATGCAGCTGCTCGCCGACGCGGGCATCTACGTCATTGCCGACCTGGGCAACCCGACCATTTCCATCAACCGCGCCGACCCCCAGTGGAATGTCGAGCTCCTGACCTTTTTCCAGAGCGTCGTCGACACCATGGCCAAGTACCCCAACGTCGTCGGCTTCTTCGTCGGCAACGAGGTCACCAACAGCAACGCTACCACGGGCGCCTCGGCCTACGTAAAGGCGGCCGTCCGCGACATGAAGCAGTACGTCAAGGACAAGGGCTATCACACCGGCATCGGCTATGCGGCCGACGACTCGTCGGATCTGCGCGACACGATTGCCCAGTACATGAACTGCGGCGACGCTATGGCCGGCGTTGACTTTTACGGATACAACGTGTACGAATGGTGCGGCGACTCCGACTTTGAGACGTCGGGCTACAACCGCATTCTCGACTTTTTCCAGTCCTACTCTGTCCCCGCCTTCTTTGCCGAGTACGGTTGCAACAAGCCCGGCGGTGCCGCCAAGCGCGAGTGGCAGGAAACTGGCGCTTTGTATGCTAAGAACATGACGGATGTTCTGAGTGGAGGTATCGTCTACGAGTACTTTGAGGAGGACAATGATTACGGTATGTTTGGTCAAGAACCCTGGGCAGCCCATTGCCTCGATCCTTGGCACCACTAACACGCATATGCCAGGTCTCGTCAAAGCCTCGAGTAGCGACAGCACCGTGACCAAGCTCGACGACTTTGACACGCTAGAGAAGGCCATAAAGGCCATTGACCCCCAGGGCGTCTCCATGTCCAGCTACAGCCCCTCCAACAAGGCCGCCTCGTGCCCCTCGGTCAACTCCAGCTGGGAGGCCGTGGGCACCACGCTGCCCCCTACGCCCAACGACGCCGCATGCGCCTGCGCCGCCAACGCCTCGACCTGCGTCCCTGTCCAGAACCTCGACAAGTCGGCCTACGCCGTCATTTTCAACTACACGTGCGCCGACGCGTCGGTGTGTGCCAACATCACCGGGGACCCCTCGACCGGCAAGTACGGCATCTACAGCATGTGCTCGGACGAGCAGAAGCTGGCCATTGTCCTGGGCGCGTACCACACCAAGCACTCGGATGCGTCTGACTCGTGCTCGTTTGGCGGCAACGCTACGACGCAAAAGGGCTCCGGCAAGACGGACTGCTCCAAGCTGGCGTCCTCCGGCAACAGCAGCAGCAACTCGACCAACAAGAATGCGGGCGCGGCGGTCGGCGCGCCAGGTTACGCCGTTGTCGCTTCGGTGGCATCGTTTGTGGCGTTGGTGGCATCGGCGATGGTGGCCCTGTAAATGGCGGGCATCTGTTGCCTGCCTGCTGTAGGAGTCGAAGAAAGCGATAGTTAAATGGTGAAAATGGGACCTAGTGGATGTAGCTCGATTGTAGATTAATGTACGGTACAAATTATGCTAATTTGAAAGAGTACCTAATGTTTCCACAATCGCTCCCAATCACTGCCAATGACGGAGCCTCGATTACCTATTGCTGTAGGGGATTGCTACCGACGCTCAAGGTAAACCGTAAAACGACATGAAACGCCGAATACAAGCGACCAAAAAAATGTTGCTATCGTGCTAAATAGTACCTCTCGCCGGGCCAACTCATATTCGGACCTTGGACCTCGACGAAACGGCACATTGAGCACGCGTTCACTGAGGCGGCTCGGCAGGCCCATGTGCGTCAGCGAATGGCTGGCCCCCCTGGAAAGACATTGTCCCCGCGACCCGCCATCCAAGTCGATCGCTGCAGCCAAGGCAGAAAATAGACTTTGCTCTTGACATCATGTTCTCTTTCCTCCTTTCCCTTTCTCTTCTCACCGTCACTGGTGCGGCTGCTTGTCAACTTTTTCCTCTTTCTGGGCTTTGGGGTGTTATAGAAGTGATTTCCGCATAGTTAGGCAACCATCTCGACTTCCCCCCTCGCCACCATGGCCCAGTAAACGGACGGCACGCGCAATCGACGACCGAACAGCCAAAAAGGCTCCGCTGGCAACGCAAGGTCCGGCCGGGAGAGCCGCCACCCTCCCCCGTTTGGAGGAATCGCTTCTACGCCATCACGCGACAGAGTTGCGCCAAAGAAGAAAACGACAACTACGTTCTATCCCCATCACCAACCCGCAAAACCTAGGGGCCCGGACGTACCCAACCCGCCCCGAAAACCATGCGCCTCTTTCTCGTGCCCGTCTCGACGCGGCGCACGCTGCTCTACGCGCAGCGCCTGCGCATCACGACCAAGGATGCGGCCGCGGCATCGCTGCTCGACAAGGGCGTCGCCTTTGCGGCGCGCACGTGGGCCGGCTGGGAGAAGCGCGACAAGGGCTGGCAGCGCAAGGTGGTCGACTACGGCAACTACGCGTTTCGCCGGATCCCGTTTGCCGAATGGGGCCTCAAGTCGGTCCCGCCGCTGTCGGCCCGCCGCCGCGCCGAGGAGCTCCAGGGCGACGGCAAGGTCGAGCTCGTCTTTCCCGCGTCGGTCATTCCCGCGGCGCACGTCGAGTCGGTCGCCCAGCGGCTCGCGACGGAGCGCCAGGCGATTCACCGCCGGCAGATGATGTGGTGCTTTGTCGGCATGCCCATTACCCTCCCGTTTGCGCTTGTCCCTGTGTAAGTTTGTCTTCTTATTGGTCCCAAATGCTCACACACACACACGGGGCGCACTTTGTACTAAACGCACACGATTGGAAACCCAGAATACCAAACCTGCCCTTCTTTTACCTCGTGTACCGCGCCTTCTCCAACTGGCGCGCCATAGCCGGCGGCAAGCACGTCCAGTGGCTGATTGAGAAGAAGCTGCTGCTGCCCTCGCCGTCCAAGGCGCTCGACCTGGTGTACGCGCAGTCGCCTGCGGCCAAGAACATGGATGCCGCCGGCAAGGAGGAGATTTTCCTGACGCACACGCAGATTCGCACGTGCACGGACACGCTCGACATTCCGGAGCTGGAAACGGAGCTGGAGAGGGCTGTCTGGCAAATCGAAGAAGAGTTGAAAAAGGAGGAGCAGAAGAAGCAGGAAGCGGAGGCGTCTTCGCCCGGCAAAAAGAGAGACGATGCATCGACGACGACCGACGACAAGAAGAATCAGTAAACCAAATTTTGTTCTGGTTCTTGTGTACTATTTTAAAAAGACAACATATACGCGAAACGAAACGAGATCTTGAACTGGGTGGCGTAAGTAAAGAGGTTACACTTTAGAAATACCACTCCATCACATAATATATTCAATTTTACAACAGCCACCTCGGTCCGCAGTAATAGGGCATATGTAATATATTGAGCAGTGTATTAAAAGGGTGTATAATAGGTGAGCTGCATCTTGCGAAGAAGGGCGTCATGACGCTGCGGGACCGAGTTCATATCCAATGCCAACATTTTTTGGCCCTCCCCCTTTGATTGCCCCCTATGCAGTGGACTCGTTCAAGCGTATTATTAAAAAGGGAAAAGGGTGGTATCCAAATTCTAACAACAAATAATAATTATCTTACGCAGAAGGGGTCTCGAGCTCCGAGATGAAGGTAGCTTCGCTGAAAACATGACCCTCCTCGGTAACCTCCTTACCGCCAGCCTTGAGCTTGAGCGTAGCCTTGGTGGCATACTATATCCCTCGTTAGCGGGTCAATCATACATGCCGTCCGTCAAAGACAAAACGAGCGTACCTGGTAAATATAAGGCTTGGTTCCCACGGCACCAGCCACAATGCGTTTGACAAACGCCGGGACCTCGGCCATGACGTCGACGCGGTCTAGGCGCTTTCCGAGTGCGGCGTCAATCTCCGCCTCGACGGGGTTGCCGTCCTTGTCTTTGGCGTGCCAGACAAAGGCGACATTAGTCGGGGCGGGCCAGCCGCTCTCCGGGTCCGCCTCGACAGCCTTGTCTGTGGCCGTGTTGTCACAGCCGGCACCGACAATGGCGCTATCGGTCGCGATGCCACCGACGTTTACGACTGTGCAGCCGTACGATGGAGGCGTGACGAACTGCATCATGACGGCCGAGTGGCTGGGGCCCTGGAAGTGAAGGAAGCTCCAGCGGGCAGCGGCGTGGTGCGGTTTCATGCCCTGCAGGGCGTAGCTGTAGAAGCCGCGGCCGGTAAAGTCGACGGCGCCTTCATCGGTCGTAGTGATGGTGCCCTCGACGGCGCAGCGGGGCCAAAAGGCATGGCGCATCCAACCCCAGGGCTCCTTGGGGTCTGTGCCGTAGCTACTGGTGCCTGTTTTTCCGGCCTGGAAGCCTGGCGCCTTCCTGGTGATTTTGAGGTTGACAGTGGCGTGCTCGTCGTTGAGACTCTTGATGGTGTACGAGTTGCCGTCGGCGGACAGCTCGAGGGCGCAGTCGTCCGCGTAAAACGACGCCTTGTCCTCGCTAATCTCAAAGTTGTTGAGTGGCGTCGAGGACCACATGTGCGGCTTTGATTCGTCGACGGAGAAGATTTTGGAGTTGAACTGGCACGTCTTGCGGATGCCGCTGTGTGATGGTGGCGAAATCGTTAGCAAACCGGCGTTGAGAGCAGAGGCTCGGGGGAGGCTGGGTTATGTAGTAGTGTTTTCTTACGCAACGTTGCTGTAAATAACCTGCGCCATGCCGACTCTGCCTTGGTCGGAGATGAAGTAAAACGTTTGCGTCTCGACATTGGTCCATTCCATCTCTTTCCACGTCAGGTCGTCGCGGCCGATTTCGGTAAAGGGAGTCTCCTTGGCCTCCTCGGCCACCGATCGGATAGCAGAGGATCCGTAGATGGGCTCTTGCGTGCCAGCGACATTGGCGATCCTGCGGGCAAGGTTATTTCCATGATTAGCGGCGTTTTCTTTGGCAGTGGTGCTTTCGTAGCTGAGCTTCGGGAGGGGCAAAGGCGGCCTTGTGTTGCTGGTTGGGCGACGACTTACTGCTGCTGAACCCAGTTGAACATGGCTAGTTTGTAGGCTGACGAAATCTCTGGTAAGATGGGTGGCAGTATGGAGGGAATAGAACGGTCAGGAAGCAAGGAAGAAGTGGAAGAGAGGGAAGAAGACGAACGATCTTTTCAGCAAATGTAGATCGACCCAGGCGGTAATAACTACCTAGCCGCTGTACTTTCACACCGCTGCAGCTGGAAAGCCGGAGGGGCAGCCCAGCAAGAGTGGGTGTAGTGGGGGGGTTTTCAGGCGCAACAAAAGCCTCCAGTGAGCGGAAGCGTGGGGTTTGGGCTTTGAGGTTGGGAACAGGGAGATGTTGGTCGGATATGGTTCTGAAGGGTGCGAGGTGATGGACGAATGGTTTGTTTGTTTTGCGCAGTGTGTGACGGCTGCTTATTCTGATAGCAACGACGGTGACGTAGCGGAGCTTTCATGCTCTAACATTGTACGGCGGTCGGCAGCCTGCAACGCCGACGCATGCACAGTAACCCCGCTTCCAAGGGGAAAATTGCACGCGAGTAAACCGAAGTATCCGAGTTGAGCCCGTCACCGAATCGAAAACCAATCACCTCAAAGCTCATATAGGCCTCGTGTAAACATCAGCAGTTTGCTAGGCATCTAGGTACAGGGTAGGCTAAACTTTCTTGGTGAAATGACAGGCCCCACGACATCAGTGGCTGGCTAGCGCCACGACCCAATGAGGCGCGCGATGTGGCAACCACTGTCTTTTTCAAAAGTCCATCTGCCCGATCATTTCTCAGCACCTGATTGCTACTTTTGCCCATGCAATAGAATCACCACCCCTCGCGCGCCTGCACCTTGTACGACCTCTCTTCCTTTTTTCCTTTTTTTGTTGACCCCTCTCGCGTCTTCCGTCAATACTTCCCTCGACCTGGCCCGACTACTCTTTTATGGGATATCTGCGACTGACTCTTTTACCGCCTCGTCGCATCCTGTTTCCTGCCATCACGGTGTTGCGACAGCGAACTGCGCACAAGCTATTGACCGCCACGAGCTCAGTAGCCGTATTACACTACTTTGTTGCGCTACCCGTGCGGTAGTACTTCTATCAACGTCATTTTTTTTTTCACCTGGCAACCTGCCATCGCGACACGGTCAGCCCTCGAAGCAACTACGCGATCGATTCTCGAAGTGGTAGCTGCCGCCCATCCAGCTGCTTATCCCGAATACCGATACCATGGAGGCCGATACACAAGTTCTAGCGGCGAATTTAGCAGACAGCATTTCGCGACATAGCTCAACGCCGACGCAAGATGCAACCTCGTTGGCTCATCAAACATTTTCCAACATCGCGTCGTTGGCAACGAGTAATGGCAACGGCACTGCGGCGACATCTCTCCTAGCAAGGTACGTTCGGCTCGGCCCTTGAATTACGATACGGGACCGCATACGCGCATCCCGGCCCGTCTCCTTGAACCGCCAGTGGACATTCTATGTACTCCTCGCGATAACGCCGTGCGCTGACCAGTTATCTTTAGAGACACATCACTGCCCCATCCTCCCTCTATGCAGATGGAAGGCTCTCCTGCAGCTACTAGTGGTGGACCGGGAGGCATGGTACGTTTATCTTTCCTTTGCTTCTGATACGCTTTATTCCCGTCTCTATCTGTCTTGTCGTACCCCCGGCGCATATCCCCTTTATCGCTATCGCGTTCCCCGGCCCAAAAACTTTCACCCTACTGGACCAATCAGCGTTGCCTCAAGGGAGACTGGGACTGGCTTCTCGCTGGATAAGCTGCAATCACGTGCTCCACTCCCGTCTCGTTCTCGCGCTAGGCTGCGACAGGAATGATAGGAGCATGCGCCAGTCTCCTTTAGGCCAGATAAGCCACCTCCACCTGACGGTGGAACCGATTTTTTTTTTTGGTTATCTGGCTTATCAGTGACGCTGCAAGAGACAACTTTTTCCTATCCTGCCCGTCTTATCGTCATCCTAGTATATCAATATACTATTATCGGGCCTGCCTCCTCCTATCGCGACTTCATAATCGCAGATACAAACCGACACAATGATGGCAACTAACGCTTCCTCGCAGCCTACGTGCCAAAACTGCGGCACCTCACGAACACCACTATGGCGCCGCGACGAGTTTGGCTCCGTGCTTTGCAACGCATGCGGCCTCTTTCTGAAGCTGCATGGTCGCCCGCGACCAGCCTCTTTGAAGACTGATGTAATCAAGAGCCGCAATCGTGTCAAGACTATGCGCCCTGATCTAGTATCGAAGAAAAAGGTATGCGCCGACTCTAGTCACAATGCGTCAACGACCCGGAGACTAACCAACTCTCTACCAGCACGCACAGGGCTTCGGAATGGTTGGCGACACCAACGGCGCCGAGCATGCTGCAGCTCAAGCAGCCGAGGCTATGCGCCGCTCCAAGGCCAACGGCACCGACGGACTCGACTCTCGAAATGGCGCCTCGATGTACAACAACTCTCTTTCGTCCTTCATGGTGGACGATGCAACATACCAGCAGGCCGTGTCTGGCTATAACGGAGACGCCCAGAATGGCGACCGCGGCTCCGACGGACCTCAAACACAAGAGCAACTCATCGCGCAGAACTCGAGCCTCAAGACGCGCGTCAGCGAACTGGAAGTAATAAACGAACTCTTTCGCGGTCGACTCAGCCAGCTGGAGCAGCAGGAGGCCGCTGCCAGGCACGGACAGGAGATCGCCGGGGCTGAGCAGACGCAACTGCGCACACTTCTCGAAACGACGCAGTCGAACGAATCGCAGCTTCGCGACCAACTAGAAGACAGTCACAGACGCGAAAACAATCTGAAGCGTCGCCTGGACGAACTGGAGCTGGAGTTCAACGCTACCAAGCAAGTGGCTGGCGAAGAGGCAGAGCGTCCGGCTAAGAAACCCCGTGCCGAGTTCTATACTGCAGAGCCTTCAAGCGAGGTTAGGGACGAGGCTGCCACCGAGTCTATTAAAGAGCCTAGTGCAGATGCTGACGAGGAGGAAACGGAGGACCCGGCAGCTGCGCTGGAGAGCGTCGAGGATTCTGCGTAAGGGGCTCATTATTCCTCTGATGCAGCACTCTACCATCTGACTATATGCATATTTCTCGGCGTACTGCCACGGACTGCGGACAGACGCTGACATCTGGCTCACGAGGCTCTTTCTCGTCGCCGCCTCTTTTGTTCTAGTAGTGCCCTTGTTTGTTTCCTTTCCTTCCTTGTCTGTGTTTGGCGAAGGCGTATGCGACTACGAGCTATCGATCGCATCCTCCATTGTGCGGCCAGTGTTTTATTATAGCGAAAATGTGCGGAAATACTTTGGCGTCCGGGAAAGGGGAGGGAAGAGAGTAGATACCATGATAATGAACTTGTCAAGACAGAAATGACAACCAAGAATGGAGGTGGACCGAAAAATGTCAACATGAGCTCGGCGAGGCTTCGGTTGAAGTAGACAAAAACGGAGTCAGGATTGCTGGTGTTTAGTTTTCGTCTTCTTTTACTACTGCTATTCAATTTGGCTTGGGCTCGGCGGCGACAACTCTCGCCAATATGAAAACACGGACGGGGTTTTGCCCCCAACATAGATCTATATTGAGATTACGAGATATATACGCTGCTGATCCATTTTGTGATGCCGCGTCATGCAGGGCTAGGCAGCCATGCTGGAGGTGAGGTTGTGCTCACTTGCTCTTCACCTTGACTCTGCATTCCCTGCTCCCATCACGTGGAGGCCATTGCCATGACATCTTCCTCCTCATGCCTGATGCGATTTTGCCTTGTCCAAGCTCCTTTATCACCAAAGCAGGACTTCAATTTCGTCTATTCCATTCCCTCCAAGGCTGGCAAGAATCGCTCATCTCGTCCCATCACACGCACTCCGTTTTTATTCCCAAGGCCTCCCTTGCCGCGTGCAGTCGACTTTTCACAAAACAGGCAAAAACACCAAAAAGGCTTCGGAAAAAAGAAGGACGAACGAGATGACGCCGCGGAAGACGGCCCGAGGCGGCCCCCAGATGTTAAGAAACGGCATTCGGGGGAGCGCGAGCCTCCCACGGCGCTCGCGGTACAGCATTGCAAATACCCCCCGGTGGCATGTGTACGGGCTGCTGACTAGGTTGTCGCTGTAGAAAGATTTTGCGAGAAAACATCTTGGGCATTAGTACGTGTCTCTGACCAACTTTTGCTGCACCTGTGGCTCCGATTGCTGACCATGACTTGTCTGCATCAGCCCGGCCCGCCATCCGGTTCGTGACTCCCCCTTCACCCGCGCGAACGGAATCAACGACATGCGAAGACGATGCTGACTTTTTTTTTTTGGCTACATTTAGACGTCTCGCTCGCCGTGGCGGGGTCAAGCGAATGTCGCTTGATATATATACTGAAGTTCGCAAGGTTCTTATACAGTACCTCCAAGATGTATGTCATGAAACCAATGGCCCCATTCAAGGCGGCACGATGCAAAGTCGCTAAACGAACAAAAACACTAGGTTCTCAAGCTTTGCTGCATCTATGTCGAGCACAGACGAGCAAAAACGATCACAATGGAGGACGCAAGTACCATCCTATTTTTGCTTTTCCGGTCTTTTATACTGCAGACTTTGGCTAACGGCATCTGGCGGACGGCAGGTTTTGCATGCCCTCGAGAAGCTGGGCCGGACCCTGTACGGGTTCGACCGCGACATGGACCGGTAGCCCAAGAAGCAGACGAACCGCCGCAACAAGGAGTTTGTGCTGCGCCGTTGAAAGCAGCTTGTGTGTCGTGTGTGAAAGAACAAAACGCCCCCGATGTTTGCTATCAGAATGTTTCATGTTGAAGGAAATGCCGAAAAAAGGCAGGACGAAGACTTCGAGAGAGGAAATGTTTGGGCCATGAACAGAAAGACCGGAGATCTGGCCATGTTTGGATTTATGCCTTGCTTAGGTGTTGCGTTGACAATTAGCTGTATATGTTGGCTTGATGGCTTTCTTTCGTTGCTGTATAGGTAGGTGGTACCTCGCCAGACACCACTCAAGGACGTGTGGAAAATGGGAACATAGTACCACCCTATTTCGTCGATTTCAAGAGAAGAGAAATGTGAAATTAATTCATGCTATGCTGGGTATCATTATTCAAGAAAATTCATGCGCGCCCATGTAAAACAAATCCAAACCCAAATTATGTCATGCCTTGTTTTTCCTCTTCTTTGTCGCGGACCACTCGCTGATGGCCGTGCGCAAGGCCTTGTCGGCGCCAATCTCGACCTTGCGAAAGAAGCTGTTGAACATGTTGTGGAAGATGAGCCTGCTGTGGGCGTGGTCCTGGACGAAGCCGACCTCGGCGTCCTTGCCGCAGCGGTCCCTGGTGATGCGGACGGCTTCCTGGAGCAGCTCCTTGCCGACGCCACGGCCGCGGGACTTGCGGCGGACGGCCCAGGCGCGGATGAGGCCGCGACCGCCCTTGAAGGAGAGGCTGCGGGTGCGGTGGCGGCGGCCGCCGGTGGGCACGAGCTTGGGGCTGAGGCGCAGGACGACGACGCCGGCGAGCTTGTTGTCCTTGCCGCGGGCACCGACCATGATATCGCGGTCGGGGCCCTCCTCGTCGAGCCAAGCGCGGTTGATGTCCTTGGCAAACGTCTTGTACGGGCGGGCGAGGCACCATATGAGCAAGATGTAGATGAAGACGGAGCCGTAGGTGCAGCAGGCGGTGACCTTGAAGTGGCCCGGGATGGTGTAGCGCGTGTAGTAGATGACGGAGAGGAAGGTGGTCAAGGGCACGAGGCAGCTCGGATGGGACATGACGGTGACGGTGGCGGGCGTACGCATGCCGGCAACGGTGGCGGCGAGGAGGTCGAGGCCTTCTTCCTGCTCCTCTTCGGTGCGGAGGAGGTCGAGTGAGAGCTCGGGAATGTCGTCGAGGGGCACGAGATCGCTGCTGCAGCTCGACGTTGACGGGGTGGCAGGCGCGGCGTCGGTTGCGGGCGATGCGAATTCGAGCGGGTTCGAGTCGGTAGGAGCGCTAATTGGATCGAGTAGAGGTGTGCTCGCGGGCGAAGCAATCATGGAGGAGCTGAGGGCGAGATTGGCTCGTAAGAAGGTGAAGAAGGCTAAGACTGGCTGTTAGTCGACCGGTTGCTGGGAGAGAACTTTGCCTGTCTAGCGCGGGGGGAAGCGAGATGATTTTTGTCGAGACATACCGGCACTGCATTTGATACCTCTGACGACATTGATGCCGTCAACAGTTGAGCTGACTTTGCATTCGCGCAGGTCCAGCTCGCGGACCCTAGGGGTCCCTCTGTCTTCCATGTTGGGCGTATATGGCGGTGGAGAAATGGGGTCGATGAGATGGCAATCGGGGCCAGTTATAAAAAAAAAAAAGAGGAAGCGAAGATGTAAAGAGAGATAAGATGGGGGTATAAATAAAGGCGATTATATGATGTTTATTATGAACAGGGTATCAAGGTGAGTGACGAGAGGGCGGAAGCGAGACGGGTTGTTCTGGAGCGATTCGAAACAAGGGTACAAATTATCATATACTGCAACAAAAGGCGTGCAGTAGCAAGGGATCAGGTGGGAAAGACGCAGCCATGTAAAATCTTGTGTGGGAGAAAGGAGAAAGAAGAGAAAGGGGTATCGATGTAAATATGGTTGTGAATAAGGAGGAAAAAAAAAAGAAGCGAAGAAGCGAAGAAGAGAAAAAAAGTCGGAGAGGAGGAATGTTGAGATGATGGTTGGTTGGTTGGAGAGCCTTGTGGGCAAAGAAGAGGGAAGGGAAAAAAAAAAGCGGTGGTACTTGGTGACTTGCTGGGGAGGTACAGTAGCGGTAGGTACTTGGCCAACTGACCTTATTTTTTTTAGTGCCAAATCACAGGCTGGTCAGACGTGCAATGGGGCATAACTGGGTACCTCGAGCACCAGGGGTCCGTGTCTTGGCTCGCGGTGCAACGGGCCGTAGTATGGAGACAAGATTGGGGTTGAAGATTTGCAGATTTGACAAACAAGAGGACAAAGGGGGAACTGTTTGGTTTATTTATTTTAGCTGTGACTGGCTTGCCAACGTTGACAGAGAAGAGCGAAAAGCAGCAGTCTTATTTCAAGACGGCCAGAGCTCAGACCGAAACAAGTGACCCAGTGCCGATAGGCGGGCGCGTATGTACGAATCGGAGCCAACGGGAAGAAAAAGTTGTGCGTCCTTTTTTTTTTGTAACTCGGGCATGGACCAACCAAGTCATTGCCCTTGGTTTTTGGCCCGGAGTGGTGGCTTTTTACCCTCCTTTTTCATTCGTACGAGTAACAGCGGACGGGATACAGTGGCGTTTAGCCTTGATATCAGGGAGCTATCAGTGGAGGCTGGCGGAAAGGGTTGGTTTTGGGCGGTTGGATGAACCTAGGTAGTACGTATGATTGTGGCAAAGATAGAAAACCAACTGCAAGCATTCATCTGCCGCAGTCTGACATGGTAGATAGGCAATAGAGATTAGAAATTCTGCCATGGTTAATTTGTAGAGTCGTGTGCATGTGCGTGTGTGCCTGCATCCGTCCTGGCCACCACCAGCTTATCCGTTGGCTGGCGTTGACTCGCCCAAGCTGCACATTCTGTCACGTCATCTTCACATCCGCCGCTTTGATACACCACCAACCACCAACCTCTTGTTCTGGACCAATCGTCACAGACATGGCACCGCAGCATGACAAACAAGACAAGGCGAAAACCACATGTGTATCGCACTACTTTGCCCAGACAAGCCCTCCCTTGACCCCTCATCACCGTCCCAAGCCTGGACCCTACTACAAGCCCGTCGTCGTCGATCAAACTGGCTCCAAAGATCGCCGCACGCGCGCGCTCCGAGCAAACTCTGATGTTGCAAGCCCCCCCCCTCTTCTTGCCAGACGGGACAGCGAAATCTTTTTCATCAACAAAGCGACACCATCTTTTTCTTCTCTTATGCGGGAGCTGACACGTCTTCATGCACACGTCCCTCGGTATACCCCCCCCCCCCCCCTTCCTTCTCTAAACATGTGAAGCAACGCTTATCCTTCCCGCCTATCCTTCCCGCCTCGCACATCAAAGTCACACGAGCGTCAAGCGCAACATGACTTCTTTTCTCCAACGGCGCTGCCAAGTGCCAACCTAACTTCAAACGCTGGCCCGGCTTGTGCTGCCTAGGTACGTACTAATGCTAGTTTCGCGGCGCGTTCCACCCGCACTAGGCTCGCTGTCAAGTACGGACGGGTAACTAAAGTGGTAACTACCTAACTATGCCACCTGGCTGGCTGGTCAACGCCATCGTACTATGGTACTGGTACTATCAAAGCCATCATGTCATAGGCGCCCACAGCTTCTTACCATCCCCAGCCAGGTTCCAGACTATTTCTGGTGTTCCTCCCTGCTCCCTTACTAGCCTCGCCGTGGCTCTGTTTGACTGAACGTCAACCCCCGACTCCCTTGCTCAACGATGCAGGCCTCGTCATCAGTTTCAACGAGGAGTCGCGATAACTACTGCTGAACCCTTGACTCTCTCCCAGACGGGCGACTGCCACGCAAAAGCGACGCGACGGAGCAAAGCTCACGCTATTCCAACCCTTGACCCGCTCCAGCCTCGCCTCGCCTCGCCTGGGCCCCTCTGGCAGTTTCAACCCCGGCATTCTACATTAGACTTATCACATAGCTTCCCTGCTAGGGTTTTTTTTTTCTGTAGTGGCGTAAAACCGGCTTCAGTTGGTTGACCCGGCCACGCAGCTCGAGGAGTCGAGAACCCTTGCTAGGAAGCTAGCCACGCGCCTCATAAACGAATATTCATGCAGCGTCTCGCGCCGCCTCCCCTGCACGCACGCGATCAATCGTGCAGGTCGACGGACCAGTAGCCTGTCGCCTGGCGAGCTATAGATGCGCTTGGCAGACAAGCGCTGCAGCAGTGGCAGTTGCTTTGGATGGGTGGCGTTGTCACCGCAGCATGCACCAAAAGGATGGTCGAGGTTTCACCAAGCTTCCAAATAGGCATCCTGGCTGTATCATCAGTGTGCCGCTATCCCCGCCCGCTTCTTCCCTCCGAGTCGGAACGGGCGGCCTCGACCGGTTTCAGCCTCCAAAGCGTGGTGACGACGACTCCCAAGCAATGTACGGAGTATAGTTGGTCTGGAAAATACGATGAAAACCACCAACCCTTATTACCAGAAACCCCTCCAAATCCACTCCGGACCCCATCTCTTCTCCCAACGAGCTCGGACGTTTCGAGCAACCCCTGCCCAGTCTTGCAAGCTTGGAGTCGAATAACTAGTTCCTACTCCAAATGTTGCGAGATCATGGTGGCGTCCCAGACTCCACTGTCACGACGACTATTGAACATCACGGCCGGTGCCCCAGCTGATAGTCTCGGCGAGGCGAACCTTGTGGCAGATGAGGCGGTTCCGGCTTGTTCTGACGTGCCCACTCGCTTGCGGATGCTCTGGTCGGAAGAGACGGCAGTGACTGAGCAGTGAGTGAGCACCACGACGCACTGGATATGGTTGTCTTGGTGTTCCCTAGACCATGCCCGGGAGGTAGCCTATCAGCGGCGGTGTTGCGCAGCCTCGTGCAAAGCGCTGCACCCTATTCGTCATCCGTAGAAAACGAGTACTGTCCTCCAACTCTGCTGGTTATTGATCATTAATAAACAGCTCATAGCTTGGGCATCGTCAACTTGTATTGTACCCTTGGTCGTCGTCACCAAGCAATTGCTGGTCTTGACATGCATGTGAAACAAGAGTCTCTAATAGTGAGTACGAATTCAGGATAAAGATCAGACGGCTGACGTGGAACGATTGGCTCCCTTGACCACTGTCGCAGTCCCGATCTACACACACTGCGCCGGCGCTGAGAGCCGGTTGCGTTTCCCTGCTGGGCCATTGGCCAGTGGTCGGTCATAGACTGGGATGAGTGAGACGGCTATACGGAATAGTAAAGATGATATTGCCGTTTCCTAGTCACATTTGCCAACTACAATGCCGAGTAGCGCATACGACGCATCAGTCTGATGTTTGTGTTGCCTCCCTATAAGATCGCCAAGCTCGCAACACTAGTGCGTGCTGGAGAAGTCGGACCTCGTGTTTGCTACCAACGGGTCTTACTCCAAGGTCTAGGAAAATGACACGGTTATCCTTCCGGGCGCGCCTGTGCATTGCGCATTGGAGGCAAGCCAGCGACTCCAATTCCTGTGCCCAGACAGTCGCTCAAGGCACTTCTGCGTCGTCGCAGCCCTATTTAACCCCAAAACATAAAGCCTGGTTGTCAAATGCATTATTTGCACATTCCCCTATGTATGTACCCCGTAGACTACTCCGTAGCCATCCCTGCCATCGCCTATCGATATGTCATGGAAAAAAATAAACGGTTGTGTCACCTGGGGGCCGTTTTCTGCCCGACAGAGTCCCGTTTGGGATGCTTTCGAGGTGGGGTTCTTCAAAGTCGTCATTCTCCTCCTCCTTCTCTGCGGCAGATTTTCAGGGTCTCGGCTCGGCTTGACTGCATCTCCTTTGCCGCCCAAGCTCTCCTTCACGGGCATCCCTGCGCACCCTACTAACCCCCGGCCCCTCGCGCTCTCTGTCTCTCTCTCACCATGGCGCACCCCCCGCACATCACCCAGCGCAACATCCACTTCAAGTGGTCGCGCAAGCTGACGCCCGCCCTCACCGTGGCCTCGGGCGCCGAGGTGACGTTTGACCTGCGCGACGGCGGCAACAACCAGATCACGCCCGAGAACCAGGCCACGATCCTCGATCACCTCGACTTTGCCACCATGGACCCGGGCTTCGGCCCCGTCGCTGTCGAGGGCGCCGAGCCCGGCGACGTGCTGCGCGTCGACGTGCTCGCGCTCCAGCCCGCCGCCTACGGCTGGACTGCCATCCTGGCCGACTTTGGCCTGCTGAGCGACGACTTTCCCACGCCGTCGCTAAAGATTTGGGATCTCCGACACGCGGCCGACGGCGGCGGCTACGCCGAGTTCAAGCCGGGCATCCGCATCCCCGTCCGGCCGTTTCTCGGCGTCATGGGCCTCGCGCCGGCCACCGACGAGCCGCTGCCCACCATCCCGCCGTACGACTGGGGCGGCAACATGGACTGCAAGCATCTCACGCAGGGCTCCTCGCTGTTCCTGCCCGTGCAGACGGCCGGCGCCCTCTTCAGCTGCGGCGACGGCCACGCCGCCCAGGGCGACGGCGAGGTCTGCGGCACCGCCATTGAGACGCCCATGCACGCGCGCCTGCGCTTCACCCTAGAGAAGAACAAACCGTGGGTGCGCTCGCCGCACTACCTCACCCGCGAGGGCGCCCAGCCGCATGCGGACCGCGGCCGCGAGTACGCCGTCATGGGCCTCGATGTCGACCTGCGCGAGGCCACACGCAAGGCTGTCCGCGCCGCGATTGAGTGGCTAGGTGCGGAAAAGGGCCTCGCACGCGACGAGGCGTACATGCTGTGCTCAGTCGTCGGCGATTTGAAGATTGTTCAGGCAGTCGACATGCCGCACTATGGCGTCGTCTGCGCGATTCCGCTGAGCATTTTTGTTGACGAATGAATGAGTGACAACTGAACGAGTGACAACTGAACGAGTGACAACTGAACGAGTGACAACTGAACGAGTGCATGACTGCTGTTGGATACAAATAACAGACAACGAGGGAAACAGGCTACAAGTGCTGGAAATACGAGCCATGGAGAAAAGCATACCGGAGATTGTGAACCTCAAGTGGTCTTCAGTACAAATTGCATCATCTGAAGACTTATTCAAGCAGCCATTGTTAGTGTGATGGAAGGAGCGTGCTATGAGTCGTATTAGTCACATTGAGAGTCTGGAAAAACGTAGACAAAAGGCAAGACGTAGACAAAACAGCTGAGCATCTGCAGCTATCATAGTCGGCAATGCTTCCTATGATGGTAGCCGCGCCGTCCCGTCCTCGGCACCCTCTCGCCGCGCAACCCACCTTTGAAGAGCCCGTGCCGCACAAAGGCAGGCTCTCGCCGCTGTCTAGCTACGACGCCGGCACCGGCGCCGGCCAGGTCGGCACGTTGTCGCTCAACGGAGCACCGGCGCTGCCCCTCACCAAGTTCTGCAATCGCTGCACCTCGCTCAACGTCAACCACACAACTGGCCGCTACGGGTGGTCCTCGACCAGGAATAAAGGCACCCGACTGTAGGTGCTGATGCGGGACCGCCGCGTCGACGAGGGGTACGCACCCATGTTTAGGCGCTACGGCATTCTGGACGATGGCATCGAGACGCTGCACATATGTGGGAAAGGACGTGTGCCGTGACGAGGCACATGCAGGAGCGGCCGTGCTGGGACTGGCCTATGAGACCCAAGGTCCCCGGCTCGGCCAGACACTACCGCTATGCGTGAAATTGTGGCGGGATCAAGGATGTTCGGTTCACTGTTGTCAAGCAATGTTTGGTTTTCCTGTTCAACACTCGACTAGGCTGCAGCTGTTGTGCCACGAGATTTAAAATACCCACGAGGGATAGCGATGATGGTTTGTTTCCGATAGAATGCTTCTCGTGACAAGTGTGTCCACCTCACTAGAGAAAAGATTCACGCTCAGCGCTGCGATCCATGACCGGCCACGACACTGTGATACGCAAGCGTATGTGAAGCAGAACAAACCTCTGGATGGAGTGCTCTTCATCGCCGTGCAAAAGTCCAAAAACAGACTTGTGCAAAGAGTCACAACACGGCAACATGCACGTTTGTCATGTCCCGTTTTCTAGAATGAGAACGTTGGCAGGGGGTTGCCTTGCAGTCCCATGACGCTGGTGCGACGTTCTAGAAATCTTCTCTGCCAGGTGGGCAGAGCAGGAAGCGCTTCCAATAGGTCGACAAAGGGTGGGATGACCAGCTAGGGCGACCACACCAAGTCGCAACAATCGCCGAGTTGAGACGGGAGGACGGGTGCGACCAAGGGAAGGCAGCAAGACAAAAACTAGTCACCCGCAGCATCTGCGGAGAGGAAGGGGGCGGGGGGTCAATCAATGCTGTATACTCTGGCCCCGTTGCATCGTCGAAGTGAGTATTGGAGGGGGCGTCAGGCAAACAAGCGTGTGTGCGATGGTCTCTGCCGTCAGGCAGCTTGTGACACCGACTGCCCCTCATTGCGATTCCTTCTAGAAGGCTGTCGAGGGGTAGAAAAGAGCCGACTGTCTCGGATCCCACCCAAGCCGTTCCTGCAGCTGCATTGTTCTACCCCAGCATGTGCAACGTGCCAAGATAGAGGTCCAATCAAGCAATGCTGGCAAGTGAAACAGAGGGCCAAAAATGATCAATGCAAGGCAAGGAAATTGATTGGATTGGGGCGATCTAAACAGCTCTCAATTGTTTGCGACTTCATGCCAACAAAACCGTCTATCGTTTCTATGTGAAACACCAGACCCTGCGAGGGTCAAATGTAGCGAAAACGAACCTCTATATCAAAAACAAAACGCTAGTTTCAAGAGATAAAAAAAACAACAGGTGGGATCCCACAAGTCCAATAACAAAGCTGAGGAAATGTCCTGCATCGTCCAGCCGAAAGCAAATACCGGTTCGGTATCAAGCTTTGTAAGCCCAGGTCCCCCGAGAAGTTGTAAAAGGCTCAAGTTCCGAGATCTTGACCGAGAACCAAAGTATATATAGCAGCAGTAGGTGTCTCACTCTCGTGCATGAGCGCAGATGAGTTGACCATCGTTTGACTTCATGGCCGGCGTGTCAGACGGCATCGGTGCACATCCGGCAGAGATGCAACTTGCAGTATGCGCACTCATAGATCATATGGCTAGGGCCAGAGCGGCAAAACTGGCACAGCCACTGCATCAATGTGCTGTCTGATTTGATCAGAGCGAAGGAGTGAACGCAGGAGACAGACATGATGTCGAGGGAGGGTCTCTGCCGGGACGAGGGTAGATGGATTGGATGTAAGGGAGCTTGAAGAAAGGATGTCAAGGGCGCAGGCAATGAATAGCAGTTTGTATATCGAAGCAATTCCCAGGTCTAATAACCACGGATGGGTCGACTAGGCCTGCCCTTTATACTCGAACTCAGGCGCAAGGATGGGTGATTGCGTGGGAAGGTGGTAGCCACGGCGGCAGCAAGAAGGCGCCAAGAAAGGAAGCCGTGAGCGGCGCAAAAGTAGGCGAGACAACCAGATATGACCAAGGTGAAACAAGTCTGATATCGAGTAATCGAAATGGCAGGGTTTCTGAGCAAGAGCTGGCCGTGGCGCAACAAGGCTTGTCAGAAACGGTGACGTAGGCAGGGAGTTGCGAGAACAGTGCGTCGTGGGTTTGGCTACCAAGGAAGCAGCCGACTAGGTCTTGTAATACTGTCTTGATCGTAGAAAGGCAGTTGAAGCGGAGGGGTGCAAGTAATGGTTCGAAGGGTGGCGGAGAAAAGAGATGCAGGCGGCCGGATCAGGAAGTCGAGGTTAATTGTGCGAGTATAGGTCTGGGACGTGAGGAATGGCCCGGGCTGCGAGCTTCTTGTATACTCTGTCCGGGACGAGCCCAGGCAACAAGGGAAGGAGCTGAAGCAGGCGAGAAGAAGCCGAGCTTGGCTGTTTGAGGGAGAACCGCCAGGACGGGCAACGGGATGGGCGAAATAAAAGGATATCTCAAAGAGGCGACCAGCCCACCCATGGTCCCGGAAACGTGGCTACGGCGGGTTGCAATAGAGTACGGCGGACTCACTAGTGGGAGTTGGCGGCCGCTTGGGTTGCTTGCCTTGGGAGCGCAACTGAGTGTGGTTGGATCATGGGGGAATTTGCGAGCTTGGAGGAGTGGGTTGGCGCATCCTGGGCATCCGGGGGTCGCAGAAACTCTCTTCATGCTGGGGCAGTCAAGGTGGTAGTTGGGTACCTTGTATCCGTATTAATGGCCTAGTTTGTCGTCTTGACCGCGGAGCCGTCGGCGGCGCTCAAGCTACTGGTCACCGGTGGTCAGTGGCAGCAATGTGTTTGGCCATTCATATTGACCCTTGCCACGGCCCACAGTGGAGGAAAAAGGCTATCGCCAGCGACCGCGGTGTGCGTCTTGGCTTTGGCTGATGTTGGCGTCCGTCAGACTTTCTGGGACAAGGCGGGCGCGGACCAATAGACATGGCGGAGCGAGTGGGAAGCTGGCTGATGTGATCTTTGGGCAGCGGGTGGTATTCGAAGGTTGTCCCCCGGAGCGAAGCAAGTGAGGCGAACGTCATAGTCAGCTGTCATGGACTGTACTGCCTGTGTCCTGTTATGGCTGGCGTGATGGTGGGATCCGTGCAATCCGTGTTGTTGTGTTGTGTGGAAGAGGAAAAGTAGGACAAGGGGAAGGCCGTTGGCTCACCGGCTGACAAGGGAGGCTGGCAGGCTGGCAGGCTGGCAGGCGGGCAGCTGGCAGACTGGCCAGTTCTACCTTTGCTGTTCTACTTTGTACTTTGTACTGGTAATACTCCGTACCTACCTTAGTTGGCTGCGAACGCCTGCGAGCACCTGCCCTGCATTGCAGAAGCGGGCAAGTGGGCAAGCGGGCAAGGCAGGGTCATTCGGCCATGCCGGGGCAGCTGCAAGGTCCGGCCTGCCAGCTGCCAGCGCTGGCGGACCGTCAATCTGCTTCGTTTGTCCGCTTGTTCTCGCGCGCCTCAACTTTCCCCTTTTCTTTTAATTTGTACGTCTCCTTTGCATCCCCATCTTATCCCACAACCATCGTCACCAAATCCATCCAAGACGCATCGATGCGTAGCGCACACGTGCACACTTGCCATGTCCCCTCGATGGCTACCGGTTCTGTACGTGGCAAGCAACAACCCCGATCCCTCATTGGCTGCATCCCTTGATGCAGACATGCAGACAAACAGGGCCAGTCATCAACTCACCCACCCACTGAGACAACAACTATTCCCAAACGGCTTTTCTTTACATGCGCCCGCCTGACCCAGCTTAACTACCAACTTCCCCGGCTCCAGCGCCGTCGCTTCCGCAGCCTGCAGGTCGCACAGAGACGGCCGACGAATAGAGGCATCCCACTTGTCCGCCACCCGTCTGTACAGGGGCTGCGCCGTCGCCAACGCCACCCCGTCCCATCAACCCCTGCAAGGCGAAGCTTCCGGAGCCTGTTCCATAAGCCTTCCAACCTTCTATTCGTAAACTGCGGACAAGCCAGACATCGTACCCCTGCCTCCCACGCTCTAACGTGCATTCGCGGACTGCTGCGCCGTCGGTGGCACCTGTGTGCCAGGGGTTTTCTGTCGCCATGCGCGGTTCAAGCGTCATCTTCACCTTGGCTGCCGTGCCGAACGACAGCCTCAAGGCTCACTGGACTCATCGCCACCTTACCGACGGGCGCAAGATCGGCTTTGAGAGCCCGAGGCAAGGACGGGCTTTGTCTTCCTCCTTTTTTTTTCAGCCTGCATCCCTGTCCAAGACCTGTTCTTTTGACCTCTCGAGGTACTTATTCCTCAAAATACCAAGCTAACCTTACCATCCTCAGCGACCTGTGACTCCCGCGACTTCGTTTAAATTCGCTACGCCGTACTCCAGGAACCTAACTAGTTCAAAACGGATTTCACAGGAAATAATCTCTAGCTCATAGCAGCGATTTGAACGAAATCTCAGCTTGCCTTATTGTCACCAATCCAAGACAACGTGGCACCGCCAGTCGCAAGTCTCAACCGGGCTATGCCCTGCCGCGCCCGTACCCAAGGTCAGGAATAAGACCAGGCTCACGCTACCTACCCATTGTTTCGCCGTACATGCCAGTGACATGAACAACATGCGAGAAGTATTAGTGGGCCTCTGCCTTGTGCTGACTATGTCTACATCAAATAGCTTACCGTAGCTTGGTCAATGCGAGCCAGACGACGCATCATCCTCATCCGCGCTACACTACTAATACCGAGTACATCTCAGCTCTATCAGATGATCGCGAAACATTTCTCAAACATGGACACCGGAGAAGGTACTCGGGCGTACCAAGGAAAATTTCCAATATAGGGTCTAGAAGCTGATCCATGTGGCCTCATATTTCTATATTTCCGCCACGTTACTAACACATGTTTCTTATATGATACGGCGACCTATAGCAGAAGCCTGTCAAGGAAACTCGCCGACGAGGCTTGCCGGCAGGATCCTAGTCTCCCGCTTGGCCAAGACGGATAGTAATATGACCCGTCCACCTCCTAGCTAGTGTTCAGCTCGCTATTTTAGATCCGGCGCCTAATTTCATGGACGCCAACTGTTACAATGGTTGGTCACCAGCGAGGTCCGCCGCGGAGCACTGCCCGGGCTACCGATGAATGTCAGTTGTTCTGGTGAGACAACCCCAGATGAATCAAGCAATTCGGTAGAATGGAAATGAGCCCCGGGCGAAAGAAATGGACATCGTCAGCGTACCTAGTCCAACGACTACATATCCTTACACCATTCGGTACCGGCCCACTTGGAACCGCACCCAAACGCCAATGGCGGCGGGATACCATGAAAGAGCTGTCAAGGCAGAATCATCAGCCGAGGAAGGAAAATGGAGGCTGCTGCACCGCCAGTGGCTGCGAAGAATGGATTACTTCGTTCAGCTCATTATAGTCCTTATGCGTTTCCTTAGCTGTTTTTTCTTTTGCGAAGCAGGGGTCGGGGCAACTGGTGCCTTTCCAGACTCCAGCCTCACGGGCATGTAGACTAGGATCATGCATACATGCTGCACTGATATCTGCAAATGGCCAAACAATATTAATAGATTGGAAGCAGTTCGGTATTCGCACCCGTGCACACTATTACTGCCAGAACGGCACACGATGACGACAGTTCGAATGGTTTCGCTGTATTTGAATTGGTGCCTGCAACAATGACTTGTAGGACAAACACGACATGTGTGCTTGAGTTTGTACTGCAATTCCTTGTCCTTATTGTACACTATTTATGACCATTTTCCCATGCGTTTTTTGCATTGTCAATGGGGTGTTTGTGCTGGTATTACACGCTCGCCTTGGGCATGTCTTGGAATTAGTTCCCTCGCTTTCGAAAGATGCTCTCGCTCTCAAGAGGGTAGTTTCAAGGGATGTGCCTCCGTATTAAACACGTATTCGTCGAGGCTGATGACATCCGAGGGAGAGAAGATGAGATAAAAGTATTTCAGCGTCTCTGCTGTCCAGAAGCTCTGCAAGAAACAATCCGTGTTAGCCAGTGATCCAATGACTGCAATACTCAACGAGAATAATTTGCTTCCTGCAAGAACTGCGAAAAAAGGGGGGTTTGGAAACACTCTTACACGTACCTCCATCGAATCCAGCTTGTTCGTCTCCTGTTCTGCGCGCACGTCTGCAATGGCCGAGTTTGCGTACCGCGTCGTGGTGGACTTCATAATAGCCTCAAACATTTGCCAGGCGAGATCTCGCAGGTCGGCGCGGGCAGTTATGCGGTAGAGCACAAATATGCTTTCAATGGCCTCGGGGCGGAGCAGGTAGCGCGGGTCCCAGGCGTTGACGAAGCCGCGGGGTAGGGCCTCGTCGCCGTGCTTGCCCCAGGCCTGCTCGTCCCAGGCGCACAGGTCGCGGCGCTCACAGGGCATCATGGTGAAGATTTCGGGCATGACGCCCGTCGGGAACGCGGCGTACGCGAAGCCGCAGCCACGGGCGAGCTTCTCGCCGATGACGACCTGCGTCTCGTTGGCGAAGAGCCTGCCGCCTAGTCCAAACATGCCGCCAACGAAGCACGTCAGGTGCTGGCTGCGGGGGACCAGCTTCTGGGCGCCCGTCGTCTGGTAGTCGCCGGCGAAGAGAATGTCCTCGCCGCCGGGCAGCACGGGGCGGAAGAGCAGGTTGGGCTCGGCCGTGTTCATGGCGAGGCGGAACATGCGCTCGTATGTGTCGTCGACGCCGCCGAGCAGGGCGTGCATCTTGGGCAGGTACTCGTAGAGCGAGTCGGCCAGGGCACCGAGGGTGAACTGGCTGTCGCGGGCCTGCTCGTGCTGGAAGTCGAGCACGGTGGGCCACATGCCCGGCAGGAGGGTGTCGTTCTGCACGCGCTCGAGGAAGCGCGTGACGCGGTCGGTGGCGTCGTAGAATTTGGGGTCGCCGGTGAGCTGGGAGAGCCGGGTAAACTCGACGCACAGGGAGGCGGGCGAGGCGGAGGGATCGGCGGTCCCGGCGAGGAGCGCACCGGTGGCGGCCTCGCGAAAGTTGAGCCAGAAGCCGGGCAGGCGGTTGGGGGTGTCGAAGCCGGCGTACAGCATGTTGCCGAGCTCGAGGGCCTTGTCAAGCAGGCGCTTGTCGCCGCTTAGGTCGTAGGCGCTGAGCAGGCCGCCGAGGTGGCGGATAGTAGTCTCGAACATGTTGATGGCGGTGGAGTCGGTGTGGCCCCAGTCGAGGTGGGTGGCGGCCTCGGCGGCCTCGGCAAACTCGGGTTTGAAGCCCATGATCCAGAGCGTGTCGAGCGAGTCGACCAGCGTGGCGGCCCAACCGCCAAAGGTGTCCTTGCCGCGGCCGGTGACGGGCGTCACCTCATCCTGCATCCACGCATACTGGCGGTAGGCACCGAAGCTGCGCTCAAACGTCTTGCGCACGGCCTGGCGGCGCTTCTCCGTCTCGGGCGTCTGCGTGAAGGCGCTGTCCGGCGCCTGCACGCGGGGCAGGGCGCGGCGGGCGCCGGTCGGCAGTGGCTTGATGGACGCCGCGGGATGGAACTGCTTGGGATGGACGGGGTCGAAGCCCTCAAAGACCCGCGGCCGTTGGGGAATGACGCGACTCACGACGTAGCCACCGCCGTGGGCGGGCAGCAGGCGGACGATGAGGAATACCAGGAGGGCGGCGCCGGTGAGCAGCAGCAGACGTGATGCCCTCCTCGGTATGGCCATGGTTGTACAGAGAGACCGATCGATCGAGGAGGCGTGGGTCAGCGTCGTTTCGCGGTCGGGCGGTGGATGCTACAGCTAGATGCGGGCACCATTGGACGGTACATGCGCCGAGTTTGTGGGATGGATTGTGATGGTGACAGAGGACGCCTTTGCCGAGTTATCGCGTGCAACTCGTGAGCTCCCAGGATCGCGTGCCTGATCCAGCCACGCTGGCCCTTCCTTGTAACTATTAAGCGGGTTCGGGTGCTGAGAGTGGGGGACGGAGCGCTGCACTTGTGCTGAAGCTTGAGAAAACAGGGGAAGCAACCAGGCGACTGCTCAGTGTGCTGACTGTTCGTATTTGTCCTACCAAGAGGCTCACAAGACATGGCCAGGGTGATGAAAGGAAAATCTTCAAGGCGGGAAAAAAAAAAAAGAATAAGGTTTGTGTTGCACCATGGTTAATTCGGCTTCATCTGATTCTCCTGCACTTTCGCAAGGCTGTCCCGGCGGCCCTTGGTTTGGCACAGCCCTGCCACAACGTCCGTTAGGGCATCGGGCTTTGGGCGATCGACACTGCTGTGGCTTTTCCCGGCTTCGCTGTCTCACAGTATGTGTAGGTACCTAGGTACCTTGGGTAGGTACCTCCCCCTTGCCCAATTGGGGACAATTTCCCGTCAGGTACGGAGTACTAGGCCAGCCCCCGTTGCTTAGAGCTTCAGTGCTTGGTGCGGCAATGCGGCAGCGGCAAAGGGGGCTCAGAATGGGAGTGAGTGCCTCGGGTTTCGATGGAGTCGACCGGGATTGGCAAAATTGGTCAGGAAAAAAAAAAAGTGCCGGGCTTGGCGCAATGCTGTCTGTCTCCTTGATCCAGGTACGGATCCAAGTGCATAGGACCATCCATCCAAGCGCATTTCAGCTTTCCATATTGGCAGGTTGCTACCTACCTCCCGACTCCAAACGTGCTGTATAGCCCTTTTCCAGCGCCTCTTACTAGTATATGTATCATCCCCAATCTGACAGCGCCATTCGTCATCATGTCAGACTATAGTCGCTCCCGTCTCCGATCCAGAGCGCCCTCGACGAACCATTCCCTATCGTGAATAAGAAATGAGCCCATGAGTGAAAATTCTCAGTCTATTTATGTAAAAGATGCTGCCACCTCGTGGCCCGTAAGACTGTCGTCCCGTACGTGTCGCATAATCCTCCACCACCTCCAGTCTTGCCAGAGACGACCAAGAGTGGAAAATAAAGCAAAGAATCGGGACTAATTTTTTTCATTCAAAATAGACTCGCTACCAGCTAGAGTGTGAGCGAGAGAAACACAGTCTCAGCTTCTTTTTTCCCTTTTGAATTCCTTTCCTCTCACACCTGCATCGATCATCATGGCCCTCACCACTATTCTCATCGGCCTCGTCGTCGTCACGTTTGTGCTTCGACGAGTGATGGAGTCGCTGCGTCACGCCAAAAATGCCCGCGAAATGGGATGCAAGCCTCCGCCGCTGGCTCCCATAAAAGACCCTCTCGGCATCCTCTCTCTCCTCGAAATGATCCAGGCCGACAAGGAGAAGCGAGTTCCCGCCCTGACCGAGGAGCGTGTCAACAGGATGCGCGAGAACAACGGCGGCAACTATGTCACCACCATGCGCCTGCGAACTGGGGCCGTCGAGAACATCCTGACCATTGACCCCAAGAATATCCAGGCCATCCTGGCCACCCAGTTCAAAGAGTTTTGTGTTGGTGCCCAGCGAGAGAGCTGCATGGGTCCTCTCCTCGGAGCTGGCATTGTAAGTTTGTAGCGTCAAAGTAGACTACAAAGACAAATCTAACCGAGCATAATAGTTTACTACCGATGGCCCTGCTTGGTCGCACTCTCGCGCCATGCTCCGTCCTCAGTTCACCCGCGACCAGATCAGCGACCTCAGCCTCGAAGAGGTGCACGTCCAAAACGCCTTCAACGTTATGCCGCCCGTCAACAGCGAGGGCTGGACCGAAGTCGACATCCAGACCATCTTCTTCCGCCTCACTCTCGACTCCGCCACCGAGCTCCTCTTTGGCGAGTCGTGCAAGTCCCAGCTCGTCGCCGTCGACAACGCCAGCAACGACAAGGAGTTCTCAGCCCGCGGCACCGACTTTGGCACCAACTTTGACCGCGGCCAGTGGTACCTGTCCCAGCGCGTGCGCACCCCCTTCCTCAAGTTCTTCTACAACGGCGACGAGTTCAAGAGCTGCTGCAAGGAGGTCCACCGCTTCGTCGACCAGTGTGTCGAGCGCGCCCTCCGCGAGACCAGCAAGATCAAGCGCGACGCCAACGGCAACGCCGTCGAGGGCGAGCACTACGTCTTCCTCCACGCCATGGCCGCCGAGACCCAGGACCCCCTCGAGCTCCGCGCCCAGCTCCTCAACGTTCTCCTCGCTGGCCGCGACACCACCGCTTCGCTGCTCTCCTGGACCATGATGCTCCTCGCCCGCCACCCCGACAAGTTCCAGCGCCTCCGCCGTGAGATCCTTGACAACTTTGGCGACTACGAGAACCCTCGCAATCTGACATTTGCCAACCTCAAGGCCTGCACCTACCTTCAGCGCGTCATGACCGAGGTCCTCCGTCTGTTTCCGCCCCTGCCCATGAACGCTCGTTATGCCACCTGCGACACCAGCCTGCCCCGAGGCGGTGGTCCTGATGCTGAGAGCCCGGTCTATGTCAAAAAGGGCCAGGCCGTCCTCTACAACGCCCATATCCTCCACCGCCGTACCGACATCTGGGGTCCTGACGCCGGCGAGTTCAACCCTGATCGCTGGGAGAACCGCAAGGGCGGCTGGGAGTATCTCCCTTTCAACGGCGGTCCTCGTATCTGCATCGGACAGCAGTTTGCCCTCACCGAGGCTGGCTATGTCCTCGCCCGACTACTCCAGCGCTTTGACGGCCTTGAGGAGGTCAACCCCAGCGACAAGGTCTCTTGGGGTCTTACTCTGGTCAGTCAGCCTGGTGAGAGTGTCAAAGTTCGCCTCCACGAGGCTGTCTAAGCTGCGGCAGTATTTATTCCAGTGATTCGGCTACTTTGCATTTTAACGACCACTTTCCATATACATTTTCCCATCAAAACCGCACTCCTTTTGCCTCTTTGATTTATTTACTGTTCTCATTTCTTAGAAGAGATGAATGGGTTGAGTTTCTATAGAATAGCGATAAATTACACTTGCCACTTCACAAACCACAATCGGAGGTCCCTTACGCTTCTCAACATGAGATTAATTCACCACAATGCTTTGGTGTCGCGACTTTTTCCGAATAGGTAAGCTTGATTTTGTAACCATTCTATTGAGCAGAAAGAAATACCTATTTGGGAAAGGTCTGCCACAGTACAAAGGCAGAAGGCACGCAAGACATTCGGCACCCACCAGCCTTGCTCTTCTAAGCACCAGGCAATAGGGTCCCATAATTATACACAGGTACGCAAGAGGGTGCATTGCACTGCTCGGAATGACGAAATGCGCACCGAGACATGCCAATCCCGTTTACTTGTACAGATCGAGAACTTAGTTCTTAGTCACGTTGCTCGTATGAAGAACCTTGACCGTCTGAGAGGTAACTAGGCTGTCGACGATCATTCTTTGTTTGGGCCAGTTTTGAGGATTCAAGTAAAATTATCATCATGAATACAATCGTAATGAATACAAAAGAAAGTCTATAGTGTTGATGAAGAAATCCGTGTGAAAGTCAAAACGCCGGTTGCGCCCGCTCGATCCAATTTGCTGTTCCCGTCCCTTGTACATGCTAAGACAAATGAGAAAGACAGAAAAAAACGCACTCTCCCCCTTGCCCCGCCCAAAAACGATAAACAGTTTTAAACTCTTGTCACAGAACCTGACCCTGAGGGCCACCGGGCATTACCTGGCCGTGGTTGATCCGGTCAGTTGCTGCAGCCAGCTGAGAGTCCGAGGGGCGGTTAACAATGGTGAGGTAGAGAATATTCTCCTTGATGGAGCGCTCAGGGCCCATCTCGAGCTCCCTGCGCTTCTGGCGGAACTCGGCGAAACGGGGCTGGTAGTCACGGTCGATGTATTTGATCTGGCGCTCCGTTTCGCGAGTGCTCTGGCGTTGCTGACGGACCTGGTCGACACGTTCCTGGTACTCGTGGTTGAGACGCTCCTCCTCCTCGCCAATGCTCTTGAGCTTCTTAAGACGGCGGGTCTCGGGGTCCTGCGCAAGGGCGCCACCGGAGATGAAGCCAAGCAGACCACCGTTGTTCATGGACGAGTTGGGGTCGAGGAACTTGTTGGAGAAACCCTTGGTGAGGGGAGTATTGAGGATGTCGCCCTGGTTCTCCGAAGCGTACTTGGCACGGGCACGGCGATCGAGGTAGACGTTGAAGTTCTCGAAAGCACTTGAGAATTTTCCCTTTGAGTTTTGCTTCTCGACGGGGCTGCGCTCGGGAGAGACCTTGCCCTCGTTGGCGAGGTACTCCTTGTGAGCACGGCGGTCGTCCATGTAGATGAGAGGAGCGACGGCCGAGGGAAGGGCGTTCATGCCTTCAGAGGTGCCGGAAACGGGGTCCTTGCGCCAGCTCTGCTGGCCATTTCCAAGCTTGCTCAAGGTGCTGTTGGCAGCCTGCTCGGCGAGAACGGGGTCCTGGCCGATGGGGTCGTACTTCATGATCATGCAGAAGAGACCGCGGGGGCCAAACACCTCCTTGTTGAACTTGTCAAGGGTCGAGTTGGTATTGTGCTTAACGAAGCCCTTGTTGGCGACGTGGGCACCCATCTGAACAGCTGTGGCGACGCAGGTGGTGATGATTTCAGGAGTAAACGCAACACCGAAAGAGACAACCTGCACACCAGCAAGAAACTTGTTGCCCTGGACAGCAGTGTTGAACTCGTCGAGAAAAGACATAAAGGTGCGCTGGTCGATACCGGCAGACTCGAGCGCCGGAGCGTAGGCAGCCATGAAGCCACGCTCTGCCGAACCAGGGCGCTGCTGTGGGATGACCACAGGGAGAGAAAGAGGACCGGGCGCCATCTGAGGGGATTGCGATCGTTTGTTATATTGCTGGAGCTGCTGGTTTTGGCCGTTATATTGGTGATCGTAAGCGTTGTCGTAGCCGTTATCGTAGCCACGAGGGGGACCCTGAGGGCGAGCGTAGTCGTCGTAGCGGCGCTGAGAAGGGGGAGGGCCCTGGGGAGGAGCAAAGTCGTAGTTACCCTGAGAACTGTGGCGAGATCTTTCCTGGTGGCGGCGCTTCTCTTCGTAGTAGTCGTCGCGGTCGTATGAGGAAGAGGAAGGCTGGCGGCGAGAGTACTGAGGAGGGGGCTGAGAGTACTGCGGGGGAGCAGAAGACTGCAAGTAGTATGTAGACTTGGACATTTCTGTGCCTATGTGTATTGGCGAAACAAAGAGATGTAGCTGGTTATCCTGATGTGATCAGGCTGGCCCCGCTCTGGCGCAAATAGGATGAAGTCGTAGTGGTGATTGAAGAGTAGAAGCGAGTAGTGCGCAAACCAAGGTGGCAGATGAAGAGAGCTCAAGATAGATGATGGAAGAAAATGTTCTGATAGGGGGCTTTCTTTGGGATACTGAGGGGGAAGGGATCCGTTTAAATGAAGGCGGACTTGAAAGTGCATCCCCAGCCTTGTGGGCGCGATTTGGGCGTTGGACCGGGATTCAAACGAGCCTTGCGTCACTGGACGGAAGGAGGTGTGGCACCCAAAAAGGATGGAATTCAGGCCACCGCAGGGTCCAGAACCGGGTTTGGGATAGTGCAGGTGATGGAGTCAACGAGGCACAAGGGGGCGCTGTCCGGATGGCGTCTGCCGAAACGCTGTGAATGCCGCTTTGAGAGTCCGGCCGCTAGTCCCGATACGGCATGCACGATGTCGGCCGGTCAGATTCCCGGACCCCGGACTCGATTGCCTAATCGGGTAACCTCATTGCGCGAATCCCGCTCCTAGCAACACCCCAGACCCCAGGCGGCTCCCGTCAGCTTGACCCGTGCAGACCAGGCCGCGCCGCAAAACGCTGGGGACAAATCATCACCAGCTTGCTTAGAGTAGAAAGAGATGGCTCACTTACTGCTTTTTGCGGTAATACTGAGACAGCCCATAGCTAGATGAGAATAAGACAGAAAAAGATAAATACATCTGACAATCCAGAGCTCTCTAAATTTAATTCATCATCAACCACAGCCTGCACTACAAAAAGCTTCAGCGCAAGCATCACTAAACACCACATCTCTCTACTTTTTCATCTCAGAATCCATCAACCTAGAATCCTCCACAATGGCTGCTCCCGCTGAAAAGACCGTCCTTGACCTCAATGGCAACTGGATCATGGTAAGGCGCCTGTCTCTCGCTAGCCAGTCTCCGCGACTAGCAACCACACGCAAACACGGCTAACAACTCCTCGCGCGGCTTCCAGAACGCCAAGCTGTCTGATTCCTCCGACGTCGTCCTCAAGGCCCAGGGCGTCAACTGGCTGATGCGCAAGGTCATCACCATGGCCACCGTCACCCTCATCGTCAGCCAGACAAAGGACGCGGCCGGCAACATCCTCCTCGACATTGAGAACAAGCCCAGCGGCGGCATGCCTGGCGCCGTCGAGAAGCGCGTCCTGAACTGGGAGCCCGTCGAGCTCAATCACACCCTCTTTGGCAACATTCGCGGCCGCTCCCGCGTCGCCAAGATCTCGGACCTCGAGGACGAGTGGCTCAAGGGCGGCTGGGAGGAGGGCACCGAAGAGGTGCTCCACTTCAAGACGGAGCACATCGACTCCAAGGGTGTCGTCACCCAGCAGGTTCTCGGCTTCGTTAAAGTTGAGGGTGTCCGGTACCAGGCCCGTCGCGTTCTCGTCACCACCGAGGGCTCTGACAAGAACGTCGAGATCACCATCATCTACGACTATCTTGGCGCCGGCGAGGTCTCCCAGTAAATCTTCGTTTACATATGCATGACATACACCCGAACCGATCGTTATGATGGAGCGTTTCATTTTCTCATAGTCCTGTTCTAGTTTTCTGTGTAGCTAGTTATCTAGTTGCTGGGTCCGCCCAACTTACTTGCAATGAATCCCACATACCCTTAGCACTCCACCCTCGAATCCCGGTCCCGCGCGATGACGAAAGCTTTTGAGACCCCTGTATTAACTATAGATTTTAGCATCGATCTTTCTCCACTAGAATCAAGCCCAGAGTAGATAGCTAGATGCGCGAGCCCCGACAAGTCCGTCTGTAGCTGCCTCGCACTAGCGGCAGCGTTCCCGAATCCCGGTCGTACATGACGATTTGTTCTGGAATCCTTTCTTTCCTAGGAGTAAGTGGGTACCTGGTTACGAGTCCTTATTTTGTTTCACTCCGCAGATAGAAAGGCTCGGTCATTCTATTGCGCTGGAGGTACAGGATGGCACCTGCTCAGCCACCAGCGTCGTCAACCGCCAACAAAGCATGTGTTGCACTCGACCGGTATTCGGTAAAATATTCAGTCGCCACTATTCATTTCCGATCTACCCAGCTTTCTATAAAAACCAGGCAGATCCGTACGATAATTAGAACCGGTTGAAACTGCCAGTGGTGCCTGCAGAACGGCTTCTGTTCGCCACACTTTGGAAGACAAAGAAAGATACAGGCACTCGTTTTATACTTTTTGAAAAGTGGCGGTTACATCTCAAACAGTGCTGCGATTATTTTTTTCTTTCTTCACCTTCCTTTCCACTTCCAACACCAAGTTTGGCACTTTGTCTTTCCAACACCAATGTATCACACATTCACAGTCACAGGCAAGGTATGGAACAAAGGTTGAGCCCTAATGATTTGTATTGTATACTATCATCTTTTATAACAAAAAGGAAATAAATGCCATGCAATAGTGAAAAGTCAAAAAATCTATGACGCTTTGATACAAAAAGAAACATGAAAGGAAAACAAAAGCTTTGTGTGAACAGGCAATGTATGCCTCATGGTGACAATCTGAGTAGAAGTGAATTCTTTGGTAGCGGGACTTTTTTTACCGCTCAAGGAAGCCCATGTTCTTGCCCTCAGCATCCTGCAGGGACATCTTCATGGTACTGAACTGGTATCTGAAACCGGCGATCTTGGCTTTGCCAACCCAGACGTGGGCAGGAATCAAGGGACGATCGGTGTTCTTGTATTCGTCTAGCGAGTCAATCTTCTTAATCACCTCGCCAATGTCCATGCGGACAGAGCTGTAGTGAGAGTGCTTGCTGAAGGTGTTGTCGGTAGAGGCGAGAGCGGACATGGCCAGATCCACGACATCGTCGGAGAGACGGTCGGCGGGGATCAGGTCGTAGTAGCCGCGCCACGTATCGGGGTTGGGAAGCTCAGGCATCTTAGCAGCAACATCGACAAACTCTTGCAGAATGCTGTCAAGCTCCTCACCCTGTGCGGTGCGGCCCTCGGGGACAGGAAGCTGACGGTGGACGTGGACGGGAAGACCGAGCTTGTCAGCGAAGCGCCGGAGGAACTGCTCACTAGCCCACTTGGAAGCGACGTAGCCGTTGGAGCCGTCGGTGGAAGGCTCAATACCAGCATCCTCGCTTCCGGACATGAAGTGGAAGGGAACAACCTTGTTGGAGTCTCGGAGGGCCGTGGCAGCCATCAGAGCAAGCTCCTTGGTAGACTGTACATTGGGGGCGCGAACCATGTCGTAGGCACTCCAGAAAGAGCGGTTGGCGCCACTGTGCACAATCATGTCGGCCTTCTTCGATAGAGTCTCGAACTCGGCCTCGGAGAGACCAAGACGAGGCTCAGAGAGGTCTCCAGGGTGGAGCTGGACCTTGTCAGTGGAGGCAATGAGAGCCTTCATCTTCTGGCGGGAGGGGCTATCCATTTCAATGTTGCGAACAGCCACACAGTGAATAGCGGAAACATTCTTGTCTTCAATGAGGCGCTGGAGAAGGTGGCGACCGATGAACCCGGAAACACCAGTGAGGATGACAGTAAGGTCAGAAGTCTTGGGGCGAGTGGTCTTGGTGTTGACAGGGATGACACTCAGCATCTCGTCACTGAGGGCAGTTTCAACATCCCAGTTGATCTCCTGGTTGGAAAGAAGTTCATCGAGGAGATTACCGAGGCCATCGAGAGTAGGGGACTCCATGATCTTGATGAGGGGAACAAAGACACCACAGATCTCACGGAGGCGGGACTGGAGGCGGACAGTAAGGAGAGAGTTACCGCCGAGGACGAAGAAGTCGCTAGAGTTGTTGAGGGTGGTGTTCTGAATAATGGATTCAGGGAGGATCTCAACCCAGATATCACGGATCGTCTTGGCGGTTTCCGTGAGCTCAGCGTTGGATTTGGAGTTGTCAGAGGTGGTGCGGAGGGGGAGAGTAGCAATGGCAAGACGGTTGACCTTGTTGTGCGAGTTGACAGGTATGTTGACAATGGGAACCATCATGTTGGGGCGCATGTACTGAGGCAGAGGGAGCTTGGAAATGAGCTTGGACAGGTAAGCGTCCTGCTCTTCGGCGGGGTAGCCATCAGCAAACTCGGCAAAGGCGACGAGGTAGCTGGCAGGGCCATCGCCGCGAACGTTGGCAACGGCCCGAGTCAGAACACCCTGGGAAGCGTGGACAATGGTGGACTCGATATCCTCAAGCTCGATGCGGAAACCACGGAGCTTTATCTGAGTGTCACCACTGATGCGGCCCTGGACGATCAGAGTGCCATCCTCAGTCAGGTAGCCCTTGTCACCGGTCTTGTAAGCACGGTCCCAGCCCTTGGCAGCGTGAGCCTCAGTAGCATGCTTGTCAGTGATGAACTTGTCCTTGGTGAGCTCGGCGTTCTTGTAGTATCCGACAGCGACACCTGCACCACCAATCAGGATCTCACCCTGGACACCAGTGGGAACAACATTGTTCTTCTTGTCAATGATGTAGAAGGAGTAGTTGGGGAGAGCAGCGCCAGCGGGGATGAGGGTGCCCTTGCCTGGGTACTCAATAGGGTAGCGGGTAGCCCAGACACTCGCCTCGGCGGGACCATAGTTGTTGCGGATCACGAGCTCGGAAAGCTTGAGGTTGGCAAAGGAGTCTCGTAGGGTACTGTTCCAGCCCTCACCACCAACGTTGGCAATACGCCAGCTCGCGGCCTTGGAGAGAGTGTCGCAGGCAAAGCCAATCCAGTTGGAGTACTCAGAGGGAGTAGCGGTGGTGTAGTTGATGTTGTTCTCGACAATAACCTTGGAAATCAGCTCGGGGTTGGTACGCTCCTCTTCGGAGGCGACGTAGAGGGTGCCTCCGTTGACAAATGCAGTCATGATCTGATCCAGAGAGATATCGAAGCTGTAGGCACTCTGCTGGAGGACCTTTGCGTTGCCGAGCTTCCAAGTCTGGCTGTCACCCTCGAAGAGGTTGCTCAGGCTGGAGTGGCGGACTTCGATGCACTTGGGAACACCTGTAGAGCCAGAGCTGGAGACAATGATGGCAGAGGAGTTACCAGTGGAAAGGTTGGGGCGGCGAGTAACGGTGGCATCCTTCTTGCGAACATTATTGATGTTGATGATAGTGGCACTGGCGGGGGCGGCAAGAGCAGCAACGTCCTTGGAATTGGCATCATCGTGGATGATGGCCTGGGGCTGGACAACACCGACGGTAGAAGCTAGACGAGGGACACCGTTTCGGGGATCAAGAGGAACGTAGACGGCACCAGCACGCCAGACGGCAAGAAGAGAGCTGATCCACAGGCTAGAAGGTTGCTGGAAGATACCGACCTTGTCGCCAGCCTTCACACCACCCTGAGCTAGTTCCTCGGTAATCTGGTCAATGAGACGGTTCATGGAGGTGTAAGTGAACTTGTTGGAGATGTCGACGAGAGCAGGGCTCTCGGGAAACTTGGCGGAAATCTCATCAATCTTGAGAGAGAGGGTCTCGGGCCACTGGGCATCGAACTGGAGACCCTGACCAACCTCAACGGCGGCCTTGACAGCCTCGGGGCGGTAGAGAGGAGCAGACTCGACGGAAGAGGTGGCACTGTTAGCAAAATGGTTGAGGAGGCTCATGTAGCTTTCCATCATGACCTCGGTGTGCTTTGTGTTGTAGAGAGCCTTCTGGGTCTGCCACTTGATCTTGATGTCGGCCATGGCGTAGTCAGTTACATCAAGAATGACGTCGTAAGAAGTAGCACCAAAGTTCTGCTCGCCTTCGGCGCTGGACTCCAGCATAGGAGGAGTCTTGACAGCCAGCTGGCGGTAGTCAAGGAAGGCCTGAAACAGAGGGCTGGTAGAGGAAGAGCGGGGAAGGTTGAGCTCCTCGAGGAGGAGATCGAAAGGAAGCTTGGAATGGGCCAGGCTGTTGTAAGCAGTCTGCTTGGCGGCAGCCAGGACACTGGAAAAGGGGGCCTTGGCGTTCAGAGCACTGAAGCGGAGAGGCACAAGGTTGAGGAGGAAACCAATGGTGGACAAGGTCTTGATATCGCTGCGGTTGGCATCGGCGATACCAATGCAGAGATCATCCACCTCGAGCCACTTGGAGAGGAAGATCTGGAAAGTGGCAAGGAAGAAGTGGAAGGTGGTGCAGCGGTTCTGACGGCAGAGGTTGCGGATCTTCTGGGCCATGGCGGCATCCAAGCTGAGCTCAACCTCCTCGTGCTCGTACTTGACAAGAGGCATGCGGTTGCCGACACCGGTGAAGGGGAAGAGCGGGAGAGGATCGGGAATGTTGGAGAAGGTCTTCTTCCAGAAGGCAACGTCGTTGCGCATGCGGCCAGCCTCGACATCGCGGCGCTGCTGGATAGCAAAGTCGGTGAATTGAGCGGGAATCTGAGGAACAGGCTTGCCCTGGTACATCATGTCGAGGTCACGGATCATGAGGTTGAAGGAGAAACCATCCATGGCAATGTGGTGGACAGCGAAGATGAAGACGTGATCCTTGTCGGAGAGAGAGAGGAGGCGCATGCGAATGACCTCACCACGCTCAATATCGAAGTTGTAGCCCATCATGTCCTGGTAGGCCTTCTCAGCCTGGCTAATTTCCTGAATCTTCTCAACCTCAAGGCGGAGAAGGGAGTCAGACATGACACCCATACGGGGCTCACCCTTCTCGGAGACGAAGAAAGCGGTGCGGAGAGACTCGTGACGGGCACCAAGCTTGCGGACAGCCTCTTGGAGACGGGCTGGATCAATGTTACCGTTGAGTCGAGTCTGGACCAAGACGTTGAAGCAGGTCGAGTCCTCGAGGTACTGCCGGAGGAACCAGAAGCGAGAGCAACCATAGGTCATCTTCTCCTCACGGACAAAGTGCTTCTTGGGGACAATAGCAACGGTGGGCTCGGGAGCAGCGACAACTTCCTTGGTAGGCTTGGAAGCGGGAATGGGAGCAGTCTCGACTGAAGTAGCACTCTCGCGCTCATCGCTGGAAGAGGAAGAGTCACTACTGGAGGGTTCGACGGCAGCAAGAAGGTCGACAGCAGCCTCGGGCTTGGCCTCAGTATCATCATTAGAGCCGAGGCTCACGTTGGGGCAGATATCAGGCGACATGTTAGCAACGGTGTCCTCAACCAGGTCGGCAAGAGTGGCACCGCCAAGAATCTTGATGACGGGAATGTCGTGCTCGAACTCGTTGGAGAACCACGAGCGAAGATCGACAGCGACGAGAGAGTCGACACCCATCTCGACAATGGCAACATCGGAGTGGACGCTCTCGGTGGGGGGAAGGTCAAGCTTCTTGCCAAGCATGGCCATGAGGGCGGTCAGGATGATGTTGAAGGCCTCCTTCTCAGTGGTAGCCTCGAGAAGCTGGGCCTTGGTAGATAAGGAACTATCGCCGCCTTTGTCACCAGAATCACGAGCAGTACGGTCAATGACATAGTGTGAGAACTTGGGATCAACAACCCACTTGGGAGGGTTCTTCTCCGTCTTGTTGACATAGCGAAGACCGGCCGACACTTCGGGGTTGCGGCCGGAGTCGGCGGCACCAGCCATGACGGACTCGGCAAAGAAGTACTTGTAGTCAAGCTCGGACATGATGCCGTATCCGAGAATGTCAAGCTTGCCAAGGATACCGTGGTCGGTACGAGTGATGTAGCCGATACCGCTGATACCGCCAAGGTTCATGACGGAAGCGTTGAGGCCACGAGCACGACGGCCGTGGACAAGGCTGACCATGAAACCGTTACCGGCAGCATAGGAAGTCTGACCAATGTTACCAGTCACGTAGACGAGGGAAGAGTAGAGCATGAAGAAGTCCAGGTTGACGTTGTAGAAGAGCTCGTCGAGCAAGACGGAACCAGCGACCTTGGGGCCCAGAGCTTCGTTCATGGTGTCGCAGCTGGAATCCATGAAGAGACCGTCGCGCATAATTAGAGCACCGTTGGCAACACCAGCAATGGGAGGCATGGTGTCGTTGATGTCATCGTGCACCTTCTGGAGACTGGCACGGCTGGTGATGTCGAGAGGGAAGGCCTTGACGACAGCGCCGTAAGCCTTGCTGACCTTGTCGAGCCAGCGCTTGTCAACGTTGGGGCGACGAGATGACAGAGCAAAGAAGCGGGCACCGCGCTGCATCATGTATTCGCAGGTAGACAGACCTAGAGAACCAGTCATGCCGATGAGGAAGTACGTGCGGTCGGGGCGGAAGTTGATTTCGTCCATGGCGAGCGTAACGCTGGCCGGGAAAGGAGTGGCATCAGTCCAGTCAACAGTGGTGAGAGTCTCGGCAAGAGCAGCGTCGTCGGCGATCTGCTGAACGCGCGTGTTGGCAACATTATCGAAAGGAACGGAGCTGCGCTCAGCAGTGGCAGTCAAGTGGGCGTTCTCGAGAGCGGCGCTGACCTGTTCCTCAGTGCTGTCCGAGTAGAGGATAGAGCGGGAGGGCAGGAAGTCGCCAAGCTCGTACTTGCGGGTGCCGAAAGGAAGTCCCTCAGTCAGGTGCTCGACAACATCACGGCGCTTCTCGTTGTTGGAGAAGTCAACAAAGACGGCAGTGTTAGCAGCGGTGATCTGGCGCATGTCACGGTCGGTGCTGTAAGCGTGGATATGCTTCCACTGAGCCTGGAGAGCAGCCTTTCTCCGGGTGGTGGTGAAGAGCAGCTGGACACCGGTGTTGGCGACACGCTCGGTCAGGAGCTTAGCCAAGACCGTGGGAGGCTCGTGGAGCACGATGCGGTCACCAGCAACGACCTTGCCCAGAAGATCAGAAGCAAGCATGTTGCAGGCAATGGCCACAAGGAGGTTATGCTCTTTGCCCTCGGGGACGTCAACAGGGAGCAGGCGAGACTTGGGAAGAGTAAGAGAAGACTGGTTCTTCTCGGAGAAAGCAACAACAGTAGCGCCAGTCTCAACTTCCTTGCCAACACTGAGGTGCATGGAACCAAGGTTCTCGACCTTGATAGCAGAGGAGAGGGACTGTTGAACCGTGACGGTGCTGTTGGGAATGCCCTCGATTTCAACAGTGGCCTTGGGGGACAGCCGGTACTGCTGAAGCTTCTTCTCGGGGGTGAGAGCAACAACCTGGTTCTTGGTAGAGACATCCTGGACAACACGGCGGCGAAGAGCATTGTAGCCAGCGTTGAGGCTCTCCTCGGAATCATAGCGCATGATCCAGAGCTTGTCATCCTTCAGCATGTACTCACGCTCGACGCTCCAGAGAGGATCATAGGCAGGGGCCCTGTCCTTCCAGGTGTCGGAAATGTGAAGGCGCATGACGGACTCGAGCATGGTAAGAGCGTGCTTCTCGGGCTTCAGCTGTCCCTCAACATTGAACATCTGGGCATGAAGATGGGGAATTTCAACAAGCATGCAACGAACAACACCCTTCATGACGTTGGCAAAAGGAGCGTCACCATCGGCACCCTGGGTAGCCCAAAGGATATAACGCGAGCGGAAGAAGAGAGTCTTGAGAGCCTCCCACTTGGTCTCGGTGAGGTTCTCGAAAAAGGGATCATCAAGCTCAGTGAGCGAGATGATATAAGGACGAGTCGCCAACATCGAAGCATCGAGATCGTTGAGAGAGCGGATAGTGTCGACGTTCTTAGCGAAGGGAGCCAGAGCCTTCTTCATGGTCTCGACCATGCGAGAAACCTGGAAGCGCTGACCACCAATGAGGAGGACGTTCTCAAGGTCGACTTTGCTGGACTGCAGAGGCTCACGCAGGTTGAGGATCTGCTGGTCAACGGCCTGGGAGACGAAGACAGTGAAGGGGCTGGCCGAGTCGGGAGTGACGGTGTCGATGCCAGAGAAGCCAGCGGTGCGGAGTATCTCGTCATACTCGCCGAGGTCAGCGACGAGAGAAGCAGTGCTGCTCACCTCCTCAGGCTGGAGGGCAACGCTAGCAACAGTCAGACCAACGTGGGCAGACTCGGAGTTGGTAATCTGCTGGGCAAGGAGGTAACCACCAGGGCGGACGAGGGAACGAAGCTTCTGCATTCCCTCGACGTTATCCTTGATGGTGTGGAAGCCGTTGCCGGCAATGACAAGGTCATAAGCCCCGGCGAAGAATCCCTGTTCCTCGAGGTCCTCGGAAAAGTCGAGGGTCCTGGTTGAGATGGCAGGGTAATCCTTGGAAAGCTGATCAAAGTGCTCATCCGTGGCTCCAGTACAAGTATAGGCAGAGAAGAGAGCACCAATCTTGTCCATGACAGCGTTGGTGACGCTGCCAGAGCCGCTGGAGAGATCCAAAATGTTCATGTGAGGGTAGCGGCGGACAATCTGCTGGGCGAGGACACCGAGAGCCTCTCGGGCTTCTGGGGCGCCGAGGGAACTATTGTAGAAAGTGTTGAGAAGATCAGAAGCATTGGCACCCTGGGGAAGCTCGCCCTTCTCAATGCCAGCACCAATGGTCTTCAGGATGCGAAGGTTGGTCTTGTAAGCCGAGTCTTCCCGCACAGAAACATCGGAATCCTCCATAACGGGAAGGGAAGCCTTCTTGCCAAGGTTAGCCAGGACAGTCTGGGCCCAGGCCCTGAGCTGGTCAGTCTCGTGGCTGGAAGACTGGAGGATGTTGCGAAGATACGAGACAGCGAGGCGGTCGAGCTGCGACTTCTCACCCTCCTGGCTGGAGGAAATGCGAAGAGCAGTGGCGAAGGAATCGGCATCGGGAAGGCTGAGCCAGTGGTTGGTTTGACCAAAGAAAGGACGGTCGTCCTTGGCGGTAGGAGGAGAGACAGGGCTGACTTCGAGTCCCTCAACCTGGCACATTGAGTAGTCGCTATGGACGGGGAAGATATCGACACAGCCAGAAAAGGTGCCGTCATCCGCACGGTGCGAGGTAGCAGAGAAGCGGACTTTCTCGTCGACACCACCGTTTATAGGACACACGACGGGATTGATAGTGACGCGACGGATAGTGGTAGGGATGTGCAGGTCCCACAGGGCACCGTCACCAGGGAAAGATATGGCGGCGAAGATAGCCTGAAAAGCAACATCAAGAGTAGAAGGGTGCAGGAGGAACTGGTCAATGGGGTCGTTTGCCAGGGACTCAGGAACCTTGGTGGTGATGATACCCTGGGCCAGGTCAGTGGTTCTGCGGAGAGAGGTGATACCCTTGAACATATCGGCATAGTTGTAGCCAATGTTGGCAAGATAAGCGTAGAAAAGATCAGCATCGACGTCAAGCATCCCGAGACCCTCCTCCTTGGGGTACTCGACAAGAGCAGTGGAGGAAGGAGTGCCGTATGTCATGATGACTTCACCGCTGGAAATAGCAACGAAGTTGTCTGACTGTTTCTGCAGACAAGCGTCGCAGGAGAAGCGTGCCGTCAGGACAGAGGTGCCATCACCAATATCGGCGATTTTCACGTTGGAGAGAGTGAAGAGGGTCTCGATGCCCTTGTCGTCGCTGATCGCCAGAGCACGATGGATGGCAGAGTCCTTCAGCTCGATGGCCTGAATAGCCTCGGCACGACCAGCAATTCGAGCAGCCTCCACAGCCATGACGAGGAAGCCAGCGGCGGGAAACAGAGTCTGGCCCTGAATGTTGTGTCCCTGCAGCCAAGGAATCTCACCAGAGTGGATGTAGTTGCGCCAGCGGATTTCACGCTCGTTAATGGTGTCGGTGCGGGTACCGAGAAGAACGTGGGCAGGATCCTCACGGAGACGGTTGACGCGAGACTTGCGAGCCTCGTACCAGAAGACACGATCGTGATTGAAGGGGTAGCTGGGAAGACCCAGCATCGACTTGGGGGTAGAGTCGGCAAAGAGGCCGTAATAGGCCTTCCAGTCGGCAGAAGAGCGGCCAAACTGGGCCCAGAGATTGGCAAAGCAAGTGGCCATTGCACTGACGTCGTTCTGGCCACGAGCAAGAGTGCCAGTGTAAGGGATAGCGGACTTGATCGTCTCCTCAATGACGGTCGAGGCAGGGCCCTTGAGAGCAGCGTGGGGGCCGAGCTCAATAGCCTGGGTAAGCTTGGGCTCCGAGTTGGTGAGAGCAGAGCTCAGAGAGGTCGCAAAGAGGACAATGTTGACCATGTTGTCAACCCAGTACTGGTGCTTGAGGGCATCGCAAGGATCCATGACCTTGCCGTCGTAAACGGACGAGTACCACTTGGTGCGTCCAGACGGGGTCATGATGTTGATCTTGCAGGCATCGAGAGCGGCGTAGTACTTCTTGGAGCAAGGGATCATGTGGTGAGAGTGGTAGGCAGTGTCAACCTTGAGCTGGCGGTTGAACATCCTCTCATCCTCAAGAACCTCCTTGACCTCCTCGATAGCATCCAGGTCACCTGAGAGGGTGACGGAAGAAGACGAGTTGTAAGCAGCAACGCTGACACGGCCCTCAAAGGCGGGAAGATCGCAAAGCTCGCGAGCGTCCTCCAGAGTGGTACCGGCAGCCAGCATGCCACCAAGCTGACCCTCAGGGCCACGAGCCAGGTAAGCATAGTGACCACGGTAGTATGCAATGCGGATGGCATCAGTGGCATTGATGAAGCCGGAGGCGTACGCGGCGCCAATCTCACCGCTGGAGTGGCCAACGACACTGTCAAACTCAATGCCAGCCACCTTGAGCATTTCGACCAGCATCACCTGGACAGCAGTGCACAGTGGCTGAGACAGCTCACCCTCGGTGATGCGCGACTTGGAGGGGTCGGCCATCATCTGTTCCTTGAGAGACCAGGATGGGCGATCGCTCTCAGGAAGGTCATCTAGGGACTTCTCAAGCGTGTCGATGATGTTCTCAGCAAACTTGGAGGATGAAATGAGATCTCTGCCCATGGTGGCCCACTGAGCACCCTGGCCAGTGAAGACACCGAGAAGATTCTTCTTGGCTGAGCCACCGCGAGTCACACTGGAAGAGCTTCCAGACTGCTGGTCCTCCACAGACTTCTGCAGTTTGCTCACGAGCTCATCCTGCGTCTGAGCAGCAACAGAGCTACGGTAGGTAAAGGTAGAACGGCGGTCGTGGAGGGTCCACGCCAACTTACCAATGTCCACCTCGGAGTTCTCTGTCAGATACTCGAGGTAGTTGGCCATCAGAGCGGTGAGCGACTTCTCAGAAGTAGCGGAAAAGGTCAGAGCCAGTGGGTTGGCAACAGCAGGGGATGCTGCCTGGGTGAGCGCCTTGGGCGCCTCTGGCACATATGCTTCAATAATGGCATGGGCGTTGGTACCACCGAAACCGAAGCTGTTGACACTGGCACGGGGGACCGAGCCAGCAGCCAACTTGGGCCAGTTCTGAGCAGCGGTAGCAATCTGGAGCTTTCCGTAGTACGGCTTGATCTCAGGGTTGAGAGTGTTGAAGTGCATGTTGGGGGGAATGGTGTTATTCTGAATAGCAAGAGAGGCCTTCATGATACCGGCAATGCCAGCGGTACCCTCTGTGTGGCCAATAATGGTCTTGATAGAGCCAACCCAGAGCGTGTCGTGCTTGTCGTCCGACTCCGGGAAGAAGGCCTTGTAGATGGCCTTGGACTCGACACCATCACCAGCCTTGGTGCCAGTGCCGTGGGCCTCGAAGTACTGGGGTCGATCTTCGGGCTTGGAAAGGTCAAGGCCGGCACGAGCGTAGGTGTCGTGGATGAGGCGGGTCTGGGCCTCCTGGCTAGGCATGGTAATACCGGGGGTGTGACCATCCTGGTTCACGCCAGTTTCACGAATGATGCACTCGATGTTATCACCATCGCGGATGGCGTCGGAGAGACGCTTCATGACAACAGCGGCAATACCCTCACCACGGGCATATCCATCAGCGTTGGCATCCCACATCTGAGAGTGGCCAGTGGGCGACAGCATGTTGAGGTTGGACTCGGCGATGAACATGTTGGGAGAAAAGATCAAGTTTGCACCGGCGGCAATGGCGACAGGGGCAGTGCCGCTGCGCAGGACCTGCACACCCTGGTGGAGGGCAACCAAAGACGAAGAGCAGGCAGTGTCGATGGTCATCGAAGGACCTCTCCAGTCAAAGATGAAAGAAACACGGTTGGACAGGATACTGCGAGCAGTACCGGTAGCAGCGTACGTTGGAATAGACTCCTGGTCGACGTAGCAAATGTTGCCGTAATCATCACACATGACTCCGACGTAGACAGCAGTGTTGGATCCACGCAGGTTCTCCAGGACGAGACCAGAAGTCTCAACGGCATCGTAGACAGTCTCGAGGATCATGCGCTGCTGGGGATCAATGGATTCGGCCTCACCAGGAGGGATGTTGAAGAACTGGGCATCGAAGAGGCGGGGGTCCTCGTTGAGAAGGTAGGAGTGCTGAACGTTGCTAGCACCGTGGTAGTGGCCATCCTTGTTGTAGAAACCGGCAGACTGGAAGCGATCAATGTTGCGCGAAACCTCTCGAGGCTGCTTCAAAAGGTCCCAAAGCTTGGAAGGGGAAGTAGAATCGCCAGGGAATCGGCAAGCATTGCCAATAATGGCAATGGGCTCGTTCTGTGGGGAAGACATTGTGTATTTCGCAGCAGGTTGAAGAAGAGTAGACTCGATTGCAGTTCAAGGTGCTATAGTAGTCTGCTGGTGTGTAGATGAGAGTTGATTGGTTGTGCTTGTAGTCGAAATGTATGTATGCCTGAAGAGATAATATGTTGTGATGAAGAGAATAGTATAAACAGAAAGCCAGTGATATGATCGTAAGTAGCAAACAGAGAAATAGGGCTCGAATTTCTCAGCTTGGTAAATACAAGTTAATTGGGGAAAGGAGGCGAGTGAATAGGACTATCACGAAGAGGAAGGGTGACTTTGATCGTTCGGGACTGAGACCCAGGAAGCAGGGCAGCACAGGCGAAGGTCTTTATGTCAGGAAGTTGCACCGAGAGCGTAGTATGGAGACACAATGTGAAAGGTTCCGGATGAGCGGCCCATACCAAATGCTTTGGTAAGATACTAGAGGTATAAGCACATGTTGACCAGGGTTGCCCCTTCACCGGAGGTGGGAGGTGTTCCTCCATGTGGTAGTGTGGTAGGGCATGGTGACGATGGACTCACAATCCGCTATCCTGGTTGCAGCCTCGCCGTACAGCTCGCATGGATCCATTTTTGGGATGAACAGCTCCATTGTTGGGGAGCTGAGTGGTAAGACAGGCATTGTTGCTGCAAGCCATGTTCCGCTGAAGGTTGACTCCCGAGCGTCGTGCTTCGAGGGCAATCGGTGTCATACTATTCCCAAATAATCTGACGAAATGATCTATTCCGGCCTAGGTCTGATGGGAGACTATGGAAATTCCACCGTTGAGAGTGCAGGAGCAGTTGGCCTTGAGCTACCGCCAAGCCGATTGGCCACGGGCCTCCATAATCACTTTGCCGAAGCCGTTTGATGGAGCTATGTAGGGCCAGCTTCTTGACAAGCTTACCCGACATGGGGAATTGGGAACGAAGGGGTGGGGGGTGAAGAAGAAAACGTGCTGAGCAGGGGGAAGGGTAGCATCAGCCCGTCGCAAAAGCACGAGATTGTCTTACACGAAGCTGCGGGTGCAGTGCATGCATGCATGACTGCGGGCATGTTTAGGCTCACGAACCCTCATCCCGGGACGGTCGTGGGGTGGTAGTGTGAGGAAGAAGAGGATCAGGGACAGGCAAGTATGCAAGATGGTCCATGCAAGGGGTGGACGGGTTACTAGTTTGTCAGCCAAGGTGTGAGTGAGGGAGAATCGTGGAGGTGTGGCGACTGTTTTGAAGGGCAAGAGGGGTTTGTCAGGACCAGGAATAGCATCTCAAGACACAGAGAAGGACAGAAGGAAAATTCCATGGACCGTGAGTGGCTGCTAGGGGCAGTAGCGCCATGCATAAATCGACATCTTGTGCATGCTGCAGAGACGAGGAGGGTCATGGCAGTGAGGGTGGGCGGTAGTGTGGAAACAAGCGTTGAAAGCCCATTGGCCAAGATGATGTGAAATATAGCGTACCCGGTGTTCGCTGCCGGATTAGATCTTGAAAACGTCATGGTTACCACGGTGGGAAATCGGGGAGGCTTAAGTCAGCGATGCTGATGGTGTAGCTGGGGGCTGATGGTGTAACTCGGGAAGCTGACCTGGATACTCGTGTCTGATGAAAAGGGGAGAAGGGTCATGAAGGAGGGGGCGTGCGGGCATGGGATGACATGCCCAGCCAGATCTATGGACCCGATCTGCTGCCCCAAGGTGTGGCTAGAGCGCCTTCCCGCACATCCCACTGGATAGTGCCGTGAATGGGAGTGAACAGGGGGGGGACCGTACAGGGGTATCGGGCATCTTCTTTTTAGGTCAAGGGCGTAGATGGCCAAGAAGGCAAATTCGGAACCAAGGGATCCATAAACTAGTTACACGCGTCAGCACGGCGACGAGGTGTCAAACCAGGGACTAGGTTGAACCTTAGTCTTCGGCACGTGGAAACAAGACATGCAGATTTGTTGGTTAAAGTAGTACCTGCATTGCATAGGTAGGTTCCAAGATGTTTCTTTAAGACTGAATTATTTACGGTAGAATAACAAGTGAGACAGAATGAGCTTGACTACGGTTGTGTATCAACGTGTGCCTATGAGACAACTGGAATCCACCAACATCTATTACGGTCGCAATTCAAACTCAGGCCCAATAGCATTGCTCTGGAACCCCGAAAGAGTAACCTGGATAAAATCTAAACTCGAGACTTGTCAAGAATCTAGAAACCGCATTGTAACATTGCCCATCTTTTCCCATGGTGCATTCTGCTGACTGAGACGCGCCACCTTGTGCATATGGCCGTCAGCACTTGCGGACGAGGTTTGCCGTGCAGCCAGCCGCTCAGGTTGACTAACAGATTCAGCTTCAGACTGCAGACTGCCAGCACGCATGAATTAAATCGCTCTAGTCTTGTCCCCAACGACGGTTAGTGTCGTGCCGTTGCGGTTTACCCCGAGCAAATTAGTCAAGTGGTCAGCAGCTTCAGAGAGACAGCGACACCAGTTACACCGTATTGGTTTTGATGCGTGGTCATTACAACAGACTATAGGGCAAAGTCAAAGTCGCCTCTTTCTCGTATGGAACTCGAGGTTGGTTACTCAGTGCACCATTCAGTAGGTTGACACAGTCGCTAGAGCGGGAAAAGAACGTGTCATATTAAAATGACTTGAACCAGCCGAATAGCATCATGGAGGCCATACAAGCCCCCATGGGAAAGGCTACAAGTTCAGATGACCTCATGCGCACGCTTAGCCTACGAATATCGCATTCGCCGCAATGCCTGCTGTTGATAGGTGAGCCGGTTATCTCAGCAAAAATAATTATTTCAGACTTGTGGACAAAATGCGCCCCTTCACGAGGCGCAGGGGTTGCGAAATGATTGCCCACTTGAAGCCATCACGAGCTTGTTTAGACAGCGTAAGGTGAAAACCTCCGAAAGTCACTCTCGTACTAAAGTTCCAAAATAGGAAATGCGTGTATCGTACTGCAAGATTTCATTGCATAAAAATATTCAGCCTCAAAACGCCCTCGCTAGCGAGCTTACGGGATGCGACACTACTCCAATCAAGCTGGCCCAAGTTACCCGAACTTAGTTTCGGGGCTCGCAGAGCGAACCTATTCCGTAAGAAATGCACTGACATTGGAGATGAGCGCAAAGTAGCAGGCGAGTGAATAGTAAATGGCGATAAATTGAACAAGAAGAGTAAAACGTGTTTCTGTAATGTAATGGTGGATACTTCACGGCTAGCAGCAGGTAATCAGATCGACAATAGACATGAGAAAAAAGAGAAAAAAATCTGACACTTTTGCAGAACAAAAACAGTGTGGCTTGTTCAATCATCAACAACTGCCGTCATCGTGGCTTGCCAGTAAGCCCACCAACGAAAGACCTTGTTAGTATCCAGCAAGTCGCCATTGTGCCAATGTAAGCAGAAGCCCAGTTAGTCTGTACCGGCACTTCCAAGGCGCGCTTTACCGGAACTCCCCTTTTTTCTCCTAGTCGTATATGGTGGTGTCAAGGCATAAATCAAGAGAAATCAAAGTCGCTTTTTTTTTGTGGTTTCGTTTTGTGTAGTGTGTGTATGCTGAGCGGTCGTTTCGAATTCGGTCCAAAGACTTTTAGTTGACAGGGTAAACAAGCTTGAAACCATTGACTTCCTTGCGGCGAATCATCTCGATGCCCTCAAGGACGCCCTCGAAGCCACCCTCCATCACCTGGGCGGGGTGGTTCTTCAGCTCGCCAGCATCCAACCGGGCTTGGGCAGCGGCGTAGAGGTCCTCGCAGAAGGAGCGAGCAGTGGCATCGGGCTCCCGGCCATAGGGAGCGGGCCACAGGGAGCCACGACCCTTGACACTAGATCCCAGAATCCAGTCAGGCTTAACAACACGGCGAGTGGCCTGGGTATCGGGGAAGGGGTCGAGAGCGCAGTAGCGGCCACCAGCACGGCCGACGGCCTCGTAGCAGATCTTCATCGAGGAAGAAAGCGTGATGCAGTCAATGGCGTAGGCCAGCGCGTTGCCGGTGTAAGCGCGGATGTCCTTTGCGCACGTGGGGGAGTGATAGTCAAACACCTTCTCGGCACCGTACGAGAGGACAAACTCGTCATGGTGCGGCGAGCAGGTGGCAATGGGACGGAGGCCGGCATTTTTGAGCATCTGGAGGGCCATGGTGCCGGTCGAGGTAGAGCCACCATAGACCAGGACGTAGGGGCGCTTGTCGCCAGTTGCCGGGTTGGTCATGGTGGAGGGAATCTTCATGCTGAACCACAGCGCCATGCCAGCCGAGGCTAGCGAGGTGCTTATGCAGGCGGCGTCGGTGAAGGACATGTCATCGGGGATCTTGAGGGTGAGACTGGCCGGCGTCGAAGCGTACTCGCAGAAGGCACCGCCGCTGGGACGCCTCGAGTCCATGCTGTCAGCCGAGCCGAGCACTCTGTCGCCGATCTTGACGTCCTTGGTGATGGCGGAGCCGACGGCGACGACGGTACCGGCAAAATCGAATCCGAGAATGGCGCCCTCGGCAGCAAAGCCCTTGAACATCTTGGTGTCGACGGGGTTCAGGGCCAGAGCAGCAGTCTTGACGAGAACTGCGTCGGGCTCGAGCTGGATGACGGGGACATTGCTGTCAATCTTGAGGGTGCCATCGGCGTCACCAGCAATGATGGCCGTCTGAGTCTTTGGGATAGCGACTTGGGCGGCCATTGTGAACGCGGGTATTGTGCAAGAGTTGGAAAAGGAAAGAGGTAGAGAGATATTCAAAGTCGTCGAGGTAAATGAGTTGTTGCAATACCAAAACAGTAGCCAAAAGAAAACAAAAGACAGATATTGATAGACCGTATGCGACGTTCTTGTATAGCGGTAGGCTAGAAACGCTTTGAAAGTATATGTGTGCCGTTGATGAGCTACATACACTTTGTGATGGGTGTAAGTGGGAGTTGGTCAGAAGTGTAGATGTCGTATGCGAGGGATGATGATAAAAAGGTTCAACGGATCTGGATCACGGCAGACTATAATATACGAATGACATCTGACAGTGAGACAAGGGATGATGAACTATGAGACAGGAAACTGGATAATGCTGGGCTGATTGCTGGAACCTGCAACGGCAAACTGGTCCGAGTTGTCCGAGTTGAGACTCCATTATGCTACTTGGGGGGACCGCAGAACGGCCGGGCCGGACAGGCCATGTATGCTTCGTGTATGCTCCAGAGAGTTATCAAGGAAACCCAACTGGTCAACAGGCAAGTAGGCTCACAGGAAGTCCACCACGAGCCCACGGCGAGTTAGACATCTGGGCGCTGTTCTGGGGGAGGCTGACACCGGCAATTGTGACCAGATTACATCGACGCGGAAAAATGTATTGGACGACAGGAATAGGCAATGCAACCCTGATCGGAAAATAGCCTTGGTGGCTGCAGCGGGAAACCCAGAAGAGGCAAATTGGGGAGGAGAGCACTAGGTCAGATCAAAGCAGGAACATGCCCAGATCGCGTGGGCTGCCTGGTGGGAGCGCATTCAGGGAGAAGGCGTTGAGATGACAAAGACGAAGTGCACAGAGCAGGTCCGCAATATTACGACGATTACGGGTAGCATGGAGAGTGGTGCAAAGGGATGACTGAGTAGGAGAATGCAGTAGAGTCCTGGAGAGTAGTCAGCAGTAAGATGGAGAGCTGTGCTTTTCAGCCAGAAAATAGGTTTATTTTGTGAGAAAGACGAGTGAAAAAGTAGATATTTCATAAGGATACTGGGATGAACTGCGTTGGTTAGTTCATTGATGAGTGATAGAAGAGTAGATGAATGAATAGGGAGCAATACACAAGGCGAGGGATAACCAAAAAGCCGTTGTGGGAGGAGCTGTGAAGTAGGAACAGGAAATAGCCGGTAGAATAAAACAGGACAAGGACATGAGAGCGACATGGCAAAGATGGGATAGGACGGGCGTTTGTTTGATGGACAGTGGCCATGGGTGGCAGACTGGCAGCGTGGCAGCGTGGCAGAAGAGTTGCGCTAGCGTCTCACAATGGAGCAAGTCAGATTGGGGGCTAGCTGCTGTCTCGTAGGTTGTATGCGGGTATATATGAGCTGCGAGACAAATCGGAGAGCAGGGGGGGCGGGGAAGACAGTATGGGCTTGAAGGCTTGAAGGACAGGTTGAGTGAGCGAGCGACGAGGTGAGAGGGTGAGCGGGTGAGGGGCTGATACCCCTGGAGGTGGGAGTGGATGAAGAAGATCTGATTAATGGGTCATCGATGACTGGAGTAAAATTACGCTGGGAACGATGAGAGCGAGGTGAGCACGGGTTAGCACGGTTAGGTTCCGGGTACGGCGTACGGTGATCAGGTAGAACGTACCAGCTGGGTACCTTTGATGCCTTATTATGAAGTAGGAAGTTATTCTGTAGCGAATTACGAGATGGTAGTAATTAATAGATGGGCCTGAGAGTGCGATGAGAATCGTGACTTTAGCAGGATGTTAATGAGAGATAAGTTGAATGTATTAAGATTTACACGAAAAAAGTGAAGACGACTGCGAAATCGCTACAGGGCTGTACTGGGACGGGTTAGCGGGCGACTTGGCGGACGCTTGGCCTACAAATTACAAGAGCCGGAAATCCCCCCCGGAAGCACCCGGAGCTGGCAGGAGGACGCTGTAGCGGGTGCCTGAAGCGGATTCTGTACCTACCTGTTTGCACTACGAAAAGTAGTATTCAGCTATCAATTTCAGGCGTTCCCACGTTACGAGAACAATTACATGTCAAATATAGGTACGAAGCTTGGAAAAAACAACAGTATCGGTGTTCATTGGCAAACTCTACTGGTACGCCACAGCGAGTGCACAGGGTTTAACAGGGGTCTAGGGTGTGTGTGCGAGCCCCGATAGCAACCTAAGATCTGACGGCACAGGGCGATCTCCACCGTTGCGGATGCGTGTTGTGCCGTGTTAGTCGGAGAGCGGGTGAGGGTGTGTTTGTAATTTGTGTATTTTCTATTTTCTGGGCGTGGTGAGATGGCCGAGAGTTGAGGGGAGGTGTGATGCGGTGGTGAAGCAAGTTGTTTGATGTAAAGGCAGCATGTTGAAGACGCCGAGGAATTGGTCGTGTCGGGGAAAATGGTGAGCGACCAAAAGGAAATAATCAAGTAATAATGCCGAGCTAGGTCTTGAAACATATAAATCTCACAGTATTGGCTCTCAGCGAGCCAAGCACTGCAGCAGGCTGAAGAAGGCAATATTTGGATGCACACCGCGGAGCTAGGGTTCAGCTCAAGTTTACCATGGCCTGGATATGTTTATCAGTACGTATGAGTATCAGTAACTACATTAGTAGCGTGAAGAATCACCATTGGCTTGTGAGTTTGCTTAATAAATAACAGCCTGCGTTACCAACAGGTACCTACCAACAGGCACCACGGACTGGCGCGCCCAACAGCCCACTTATAGCGGGCTGAGCACCCAAACAGCCTGTATTTATAGCGTCACTGCCAACCTTGTGTCAATGCTGCTGCCTCATCATCAGCGTCTAGTTAGCCCTGTACGGCAGCCCTGTGACCAGGGTCGCCCCTGGAAAAGAAGAAAAAAAAGTTCCTCATCGTCAGCAGTCGACAGTCGACAGTCTGCCTATTCGCTGTCTTCGCTGTCTTCGCTGTCTTCGCCGTTCTGGCTCCTCCTCCACCATCATCATCCGTCATCCACAGCCAACGGTACAATCCACCATTCACGCCATCATCGTTTGCCCACTCACACACACTGCGACTCGTCCACGCGCTTCCGTTGTTTGTCAGACTCTTTCTTACTCGACTAGTTATTTTCTTGTTGGCTTGTTTGCCCTCTCCAACCCTCCTCCATCTCCAGCATAATCGATTATTTAGATACTGCCTTTCCCGCTCGACACTTTGTCGTAAAGCTTCCTCTTTCCGTCTACTTTTCCGTCCTCTTCCATCTCCATCCCCATCCCCATCCCCACTACAGCTTCCGCATCAGCCTTCCATCCCTACCGCTCCATCTTGCTTCCGCATCTCAACGGCCATCGACTTGCTGCTTGCTTGCTTCGTCCTTCGCTGCTACCTTGTCACCTTGACGGGCACCGCTGCCCCCCTTGAACCTGCGCACAGATACCCGACTACCTATTCTCTTGCCTGATACAAACGGCGGGCCGTTTGATCATCCCATCGCCAACCATGGTCTACTGCGGCAGGCCTTCCACAAGCTGCAATAACTGCAGAGCCAAAAAGAGACGAGTAAGTTTTTGTCACATTGCCCCCTCTCCGCCAGCCTCTCCCGCGCGTGCTGTTTCCGGGTCTGCTGGTGCGACTCGGCTTTCGCATTCCTAATGCGCCGAGTTGTCTGGTCTCGGTCAACACGCGTCCCGACCAGCCGTGCGGAAGACAAGAAACGCATGTCGATTGTCTACTCCCACAAGGAACTGCAACACGAGGAAATCCATACATTAACTAACTCGCCATCTCTCCAGTGCGACAAAGCTAACCCAGAATGCGGTCAATGTCGTCGCATGGGCCAAAAATGCCCAGGCTACCGCGACCCCTCCAGCCTGATTTTTCGCGACGAAAGCAGCCAAGTCATTGACAAGGCTCGCTCGAGAATGAACAAACGCTCCGCTCTCGCCTCTCAACAAACCTCGCAATCTTCTTCTGCTCAGCGTACGCCGATTCCTCATCCCACCACCGCACCTCGCTCGCAACCACCGCCGCATCAGTACCCTCCCCAAAAGATGTCTACCGTCGAGGACATGCTCAGCGACATGGGCGACAGCATGTTTGCCAACAACTCGTTCAACTTTGATCTGCTCGGCTTCAATACCCCTTTCAACACTGACGGTGGTCTGTTCAGCCTTTCTACCGACAGTTCCGATGCCATGATGACGGGTTCGCATTCCACGACTGCCAGCGCTATCAATTCTGGCGCCGCCTCTGCCGTGGATGTGCCCCGCGATGCTCCAGGCTGTGGAATGGAGCTTGGCCCCACCACTAACTCGCCTGGCGGCTCCAGCCACGAGGGCAGCATTCAGCCCCCGCTCTCCTTGCCTCTAGACATGATTGGTCTTGACTTTTTTCTCACACACTACGTTGTACACCAGTCGGGTCCCTCTTCGGGCTTCCTCGACTATGTCGTCACAATTTTGGCTCGCGAAGAGGGCCATGAGCTGCTCGAGGGTGCCGTTCTTGCAGTCGGCTTTGCTGGCCTGGCACGCACTACCAAACAGACCGACCTTATGTGCCGCTCAATCTTGATGTACACGCGCACTATGGAGCGCGTCAACCGTGCGCTGGCCGATCCTGTTGCGGCCCGGCGCGATAGCACAATCGTCACTGTGCTTGTCTTGGCGCTGTACGAGTTTAGTAAGGCTTCGCTGGAAGGCTGGAAACAGCATATTGACGGCGCCGTCTCTCTGCTCAACGTCCGTGGGAAAGCTCAGTTCACCACCTCGACTGGCCTGCAAATCTTCAAGGATGTCTTCACACAGCTTCTCACAAATTGTCTGCGCGTCGGTATTCCCATGCCCTCAAGCCTGCGCATGTTGCGCACCGAGGCGTCCAAGGCCTTTTCTGTCTCGGACCCTTACTGGGTTGCCACCAGCGCCATGGTTGAACTCCTCGATCTGTACCACCAAATCTCCCCTGGTGGCTACAGCTACATTAACCACAACCCCAACGGTTCCGCACCTAACAGCTCTACTTCCTCTACTTCATCCAACCAAAAGCCTGCGCTCAATTTATCTATTGAAGATTTGGAGCGCCACCTGTCGCATGCTCTCGATATTGACTACCGCTTAGAGAGCAGCTTTGCTGAATGTCCTCCAGAGTGGTGCTACGCGATCATGGCGAATCCCCTGCCCGCGACTCTCGATACTACACGTTTCCACGGCGAAGTGCACCATCTCTATCACGACGTCTACATTGCCAACGTTTGGAACAGGATGCGCACCTGCCGTATTCTGGCCAATCATGCTATCGGCTACCTGCTGCTGCGCGGCGCCAACATTGACCCCAACTGGTTCTTCTCAAACAACTATGTGGACCGTCTCCAGGGCGTCTCCAAGACCATGGCCCATCTCCGCACTGATTTGATAGCTGCCGTGCCCCAGCTCATGGGGTATGTGACGTCGCCTGCCCAGCAGCAGGTGCAGCATGAGCAGCAAATGTACCGTCCCAAGGGAATGACCCCCGTGGCAACGTCGGATTCTGGCGTTGACGTCGGCGACGCCATCTCGCCGCCGTACTCGCCTACCTCTATCTTTGGGTCGTCAGAACCTGTTAGTGGCTACACGGGCTCGGCTGCTGGCGCCTACTTTGCTACCTGGGTGCTCCTGACTGTGGGCTGCATGCACAGCCTGACGGAGGAGACTCGTGCCTGGACGGTGAACCAGCTGAAGCGTATTAGCACGCAGGCCGGCTTTACGCAGGCCGACGACTTTGCCAAGTTCATCGAGCACCACAATCTCCGTCCGCCTCTGAAGTAGCGGAGTCGTTGGTTCTCTTTCATTTTACATACTTGTTTCCTTGCACATGATATTGATAGACTATTTTGTATACATTGTTCTTTGGGCGTTTTGGGGCTACCGGTGGCGGCTTACTCGTCTGGATCTGCATATCAGCGACTACCCATATTACTTTTTATTTTTTTTCATGGTCTTGATATATATTACTACTATTTTACTCGAGAAAAAAAGCCCCCGCTATTCATTCGGTTTTCTTTAAAGCTCGTGTCTCGATTTTAAGCAGCAAAATATGGCATATGGGTGCTCATCACAAATTAATACTTTTGCTGTGGCTGCCTACCTAGGTAGTTAGGTACCTTAGGCAGGTGGGTTCGTCTCTGAGACACACTGCTTGGAAAATAGAATTAAGAAATAAGATAAACCATTGCTGTTCTAAAGCTGCCCATAAATGAAATACAAATCGTACATGATTTCGAAAAGAAGATCGAAAAAAAAAAGTTTCTATAAAATGCCGGCCCTTGGTTTAATTCTCGCTGACTTGCCGACATATCACCGCCCCTTAACTTTTCCTCAGGCAGAAACGTCCATGGGTTCTGCCGGCACGCCACCGCCAACGTCAGCATCAGCCTTGACAAGGGCCACACGGTCAAACTCGGCATCCGGGTCGCCGAGGATGCGCACAAGACTGGCCTCGAGGGCGGCGCTGAGGCCCTGGGCCCACGCCTTGGACATGAACTCGTAGCCGGGCCAGGTCGGGACGTAGGAGCAGCGGATGCGCAGCTTCTCGTCGGCGCGGTCGAAGCCCTGCCAGAGCTCCATGAGCAGCGGGTAGCCGGTAAAGGTCTCCTGCCAGGGGACCATGAGGTTCTCCTCGCGATTGAAGCCCGGCAGGTCGTCGACGGCGGCGGCGGCGGTCGCGGTCGCGGTCGGCGGCTTGGGGTAGGCCTGCAGGATGATGGAGCTGTCGAGGCGGCGACCCGTCCTGGCAAAGTCGACGGTGGTGCAGGGCATCTGCGCGTGCGGCATCTGCTCGACGTGCTCGGCGAGCATGTGGCGGACGACATCGCGGTGCGTCATCTTGGGCCCGACACCCTTGTAGTTGATGTACGCGGGCAGCGTCTCGAGCATGAGCGCGACGCAGTCGAGCGACGCGGGCGTCTGGCGGCCGTGGAGCACCGTGGCAAACTGCACCTCGACGTCGTCGGCGTCGCCTAGCCTGACCACGGTCTGCGCCAACGCCATCGAGTAGGCGGCCTGGGTGACAGCGAGCGACGAGTGGAGGCCGCGCCTGCGCGTCAGCTCATTGAGGTCGTCGAGGCTCAGGCTCGAGACGAGCGTCTCGCACGCGACGTCGCCGTTGCGGAACGACTCCGAGTACTCGCCGCCGCCCACGGGCAGCGCGCGCGGGCCCAGCTTGAACCACCCCGCGCCGGCGCGCTCGCGCATCCAGTACAGGCTCGTCTCGAGCCAGTCGCCGCTGTAGTGCGCCTCGATGGGCAGGCGCACGCCCTGCGGGCACTTGGCCGCGATGCCGGCGACGGAGGCCGGGTCGGCGTAGGCGCGCGCAATCTCGCGCCGCAGCACCTCGAGACTGATGCCGTCGTAGATCATGTGGAACAGCGACCAGACCATGACGCAGTGCGCGCGCGCCTCGTCGTAGACAAAGGTGACGACGGCGCCCGGCCGGTCCAGGTGCAGCACCTCGTACGCCGACTTTTGCGCCTGCTCAATCGTCTTGGTCCACAGGCTGCCGGGTCGCTCGTCGTAGACGGAGCAGGTGATGCGCACGACGGGCAGCGCGGCCCGTGGCGACGTCTGGCGCAGGACCACTTGCGCAAACGGCGTGAGCGGGTGCTCGACAGGGCAGGTGACGGTGCGGAAGGCGTCGTGCGCGCCGAGTACGCCCAGCACGGCGGCCTCGAACCGGTCGAGGTCGAAGAGGTCGGTGGGGACCTTGTAGGGAAAGTGCTCAACGTAGGGCTTGGTGAGACCAATCTCGTCGGCGCACTCCTGGAAGAAGGCGACCATGCGCGTCTGCATCCCAGTCGAGGGGAGGACGTGCTCAATCTCGTCGACGGGGATGTCGAGGCCCTTGGCGCACTGCGGGCGGCACTCGGCCTCAAAGTGCTTGAGCTTGGCGGCGAGTGGCAGGAAGAGCAGCTCCTCCTCGTCTTCAATCTTAATGGGGCTGTCGTCAATGTCCGCGTCTGGGTCCGCCACCGCGTGGTGCAGCTCGACGACGCGCTTGGCGAGGGCGCCGAGGCTGTTGCCGACCATGATGTCGTTGAGCGCGAGACCCTCAATCCCGTGCTCGCGGAGGGACTGCAGCACGCGCATGCCCTGGAGACTGTCGATGCCCCAGGTGTACAGCGGCGTCGTGGCGTCGTTTGACGCGGCCGTCTCGCCAATGACGGAGCTGATTGTCTGGACCAGGAGCGCGCGGACGCTGTCCTCGCTAGCCAAATCCACGGCGACAGCGGGCGCCTCGGACGCCGGGACGGGCGCCAAAACTCCAAAGGTGTCCTGCGCCCGCTTCTGGAGCAGCTTGCGGTCTACCTTGCCGCTGGCCGTGCGCGGGAGCTCTGCCAGGACCGTGTAGTCGCCGGGCCGCATCCAGGTGGGCATGGTGCGGTTCGCGACGTCGCGGCAGTCTGTAATGGCGGCCGCGCGGGCCTCGGCCGAGTCGGATGTGTCGGCGAGCGAGACGTACGCCACGAGCTGCGCCTTGCCGAGGACGACGGCGGCGACTTCACGGACGAGCTCCGACTTGGCAATGCTGGACTCGATCTCGCTCAGCTCGACGCGGCGACCGTTGAGCTTGACCTGCTCCATGCTGAGCCGGCCGAGGATCTCGACCTTGGGCTTGCCGTCGGCGGTCCAGACGATGCGGCTCCGGTCGCCCGTCTTGTACACGGGGCCGAGCCCCAGGTGGCTGCCGTCCTTGAACGCGGCGCTGGTCTCCTTGGGGCGGTTGAGGTAGCCGAAGCCGACCTGGGGGCCGATGATGGCGAGCTCGCCGGTCAGCGGCGACGGCGTCTCGACCAGCTCGTCCGAGTTGGGGTCCACGATGATGATGCCGGCGCAGCGCAGGCAGTTGCCGATGACGGAGCCGCGGGTGGTGACGGCCGACGCCTCGGTCGCCACGGCCATGGTGGCCTCGGTCGGGCCGTAAATGTTGATGAGGTGGCGCCGGGGCTCGCCGGGCCCGCGCGGCGCGTCGTGGGAGAAGCTGTCAATGGTGTACCTGTTGAGCAGCTCGCCGCCGACGACGAGCGTCGTCAGCGACGGCACCTTGGCCGGGCGCAGCAGCGTGGCCAGGCTGGGCACGGTGAAGATGGTGTTGGCGTCGAAGCGCTTGATGGTGCGCTCAATGTCGGTCAGCATGAGCGAGCGCTCGGCCACGCACAGCGTGCCGGCGTTGCCCATGGTCACAAAGATCTCAATCAGGCTCAGGTCAAACGTCGGCATGGCAAACTGCAGCCATCGCAGCGCAGGGCCGACAGCCAGGTGCGGAAAGGCCTCGTCGTGGCCGCCGATGGCGCAGCAGCCGGACTTGTGCGAGATCAGGACGCCCTTGGGCTTGCCGGTCGAACCGCTGGTGTAGAGGATGTAGGCGAGGTCCTCCTCCTTGGGCACCCGCGGCTGCGTCGGCGCAAGAGACGCGGCGGGCCTGTCGGCGCGCCAGACCGACAGGTTGGCCATGTCGACCCAGGTGATGTTGCCGAGGAACTCGGCCACGTGCGGCTCGGCGGTTTCCATCGCCAGGCCGGGGAACGGATTGCTGCCGAGGCCGAGGACGACGGGCGCCTCAATGTCCTCGAGGATGACCTGGACTCGCTCGGGAGGCGCGTCCAGGGGGAGCGGGCAAAAGGCACAGCCAGCCTTCATGATGCCCATGTAGCCGGCATAGAGCTGGGGGCAGCCAGGCAAGTACAGCGGCACGATGCGCTGGCCGTTGAACGGCTTGTTCCAGGCCAGGTTGGCCTCGAGAATGTGCAGCTCCTCCATCAAGCGATCGGCCAGGGCGTGCACCTCGCCAAACGTCCACTTCTCAATCTCACCCGCGGCGTCGGCAATGTACTCGACGCACGAGTTGTCAGGAGCCTCGGCCGCGCGGCGCTCAAAGGCACTGTGTAGGAGGGCCGGGCAGTCCGCCTCGCTGGTGTAGAGCCTGAGATCGCTCTTGAGCAGCGGCGGGCGGCTGATCATGGTGGGCGGGCCGTTTTGGCGGCACGAAAGCGGCGCGGCCTGCTGCAGGGACGGCGCATCGGCGGCGGGCTCGGGGGCGAGGTAGCGGGCGGCGAGCTCGAGGAGGTGAGATGTCGACTCGGCGTGGCCGTTGCGGACGTCGACAAAGAGCTGCAGATCGGCCACGTTGCCCTCTTCGGTCGGGCACACGGCGAGGACCAGAGTCTGAAAATCAACGTAGGGGTTAGTATACTTGTACGTAAAACGGCCCGGGCATGAAACACGGCTGGGCCACGTCTCTCGTTCATTCTTACACTGGACAGCTGTTTGGGGACCTTGGCGCCGCTCCCGGATCGCATAACCTGGATCTCGAAGTCGAGCAGTCCATCGGCCACCGTAGATGTGCGGGGCACGGAGGAAATGGTAATGTTATCGGACGAAAAGGATCGCCGCTGCTCGTTGATACCGGGTCCCTTGGCCGTCACCAACAGGCGCTCAGCGCCAACATCGGCGATGAAGGCAGCGTCTTCCAAGTCGGACACGGCGAGGACAAAGGTGCCAAACGCCCGGAGGAGGGCATCGTTGGATCGCACGACCCGGGCCAAAGGGCGGGACACTTGGTTGTAGTCAGAAGGGGGCTCGTAGTGGCCGTCCTCGAGGTTGCGAAAGGTAATGTCGTAAAAGGGCAGCTTGGTGCGAGGCAGGTTGGCAGTCTCCGCTGCTGCCATTGTGAGTGAGTTTGTTGTTTTTTTATTCTTGTCTTTTTCAGAGGGCACGCAGTTATGGCCTTGTTATTTCGCCTCGAAAAATGAAGTTTATGACGTCAAACTGAATATGAAGTTGCTGAGACAGAAGGAATGAACTATGAAGACAAATGAAGACGGCGGCGAGAAATCTAAAAACAGGAAATTATAGGTGAGAATACTTCGCTCTGTGATGTAATACAAATGACTTAAATGACTTTTAAACTACAACACAGATCTCGCGCGCAGCAGCGCAGCGTCTTTTACATTATAACCTTGTTGTTGGCCGGCTCTTGCTGTTTAGGGTATGTCTTGGTCCTCTTCTTGTAAGACCAAATCACCCGATTCATCAGTGTCTCATTGAAACCCCATCATGATGTCAATTGCAACAAAGGGGGTTAAGGAGGCATCCATGTTCGCCCTATGAGGAGAGATTGCCTCGGCCCGCACACAGCGAGTAGCCACGCTCCAGTGGCCCTATCGGGCTTACCGGCTTACACTGGGGAGGTGAACGAACCGGATGTTTCTGTTGAAGGGTGGTGGAGTCAAATACGCGATAAGTGGAGTGGATGTGGTGCCCGAAGCACCAAGAACACAAGCCCTAATAGGGTACCTAAATTCCTATATAAATTACACTATAAAAAAGGTACCCCTATAGGGTAGAATTTTCCCTCCTTTCTAATTAGAATATATAGAATATTAAGTTACCTTTCCTCTAACCTTTTCTAACTATAATTAATTATATATATATATAATACTTTTATAAATTATAAGTATAGATAATACTATAATATAATAGTTATAAGCTTAAAAGGTTTTATAAAGAACTTATAACTTTTAATATTATCTTTTCTTTAATATAGATAAATTACTTAATTTAATAATTAATATACTAATAATTAATTATATCTTTTAAGATTATTAAGCTTAAAAGCCCTTAGAATTAGAATAGTTAGTTTATAGCCTTTAAGATTATTATATTAAATAAATAAGTATAGTAGTATATTAATCTTAATATAGAAGATTACCTTAATAATCTCCTAACTATACCTACCTTCCTAAGTAAAGCCTTTATTAAAGCTATACTTAAAGAAGTATAGCTTAAGAAGAACCTAAAGACTCCTATAATATAGGAACTAACTATAGTAGCCTTCTAGAAAGCTCTTAACCTAGCTAAGACCTATTATAATTATATAATAATAATTTTTATATACTAATTAGGCTAAATAACCTATTTAGTACCTTTACTAATTATAAGGTAAGGAAAAACTAAAGTACCTAGGGAAAAACCTTATCTATATTTATAGAATTCTTTATAGTCTTATTCTAGAGTATATAAGGGTCTAGTAAGACCTTTCTTAATATTATATACTAGGTTTTTATCTATATCCTAGCCTATATTTAGCTTATATTACTCTAGCTAGTTAAGCTTATTAACTACCTTCTTTCCTTTTAGGTTTTTATTTATATTAAAGGGGTTATATTTAATCTTATATATTTTTAAACTAGTTAAGCCTATTATCCTCTTAACCTTTTATCTTTTTAGTTTTTCCCCTTCCTCTTTATTTTTATTTATATTAAAGGGAGTTATATTTAGCCTTATAAGTCTTTAAGCTAGTTAAGCTTAACTACTATTATAGCCTCTTAGCTTTTATAATACCTTTACTTTCTCTTTTCTTTAAAAGTCTTTAACTTCTATTCTTACCTACTATTTTCTTTTACTCTTAATACCTTATACTTTATTTATATAGGTTTAAAGTATATCTTATAAAGAATATTATAATAATACTTTTAAGGTTACTTTTAATTCTTATTATTATTAGTTTATACTATATAATAAGACTTAATAAATAAATAAATATATTTTCTTTATAACTATTAGTTTTTAATAAAAGCTAAATAATAATTTTAATTATATTTTATTTAAATATTTATAGTTATTATTATTTTTTATTAACTAATATATAATTAATAAGTTATTATTTTAATTTTATTTATAATTAATAAGATTTTATATAAATAAGTAATTTAGAGCCTTATTAGCTACTAAGTAGTAGCTAGTAAGGAATAAAAGGTATTTTTTCTTTTTTCTTTTTTTTTTTTTTTTTTTTATTATTAATATTATCTTTTTTATCTTTATT